TCCTGGTATATTCCAATGAAACAAAGGTGCAGCCCCCTCCCCTCCCTTCCGTTGAAAAATAAGTTTTGTGACTGGTTTAAAGGTAATAGATAACAGACCACAATAGTGAGAGAAACTAACAACGTAATTTGCATCTATAAAAAGAAGTTGATTGCTTCTTTTGTTTCAAATTCGTGCTCTCAACTAACAACGTAACGCACCTTTTTGGCTTAGCCTCGGAAAGTGAGACTTTTCCAGTTTCTGATTAATCAAATATAGATATAAACATCAATAAACATTAAACTTTCTTCAGAGAAATTTGAGAATTTTGAGAGCTAAAAAGGATGTAAGCATTTGGCATCAAATTTGTTTGCTACTTTTTCGAATATAAAAATTAGCTTTAGCTGTGAAGAATTTCTATCATTATTCGAATGATCGCTCAGTGCAGTAATATTAAATTCCAAATCCGTGAGAGAGATATCAATTGTTAATTGGTCCTAAAAGATTGTTAACCTGAAACCTCTGTAGTGACCCCTGATTGTCTCGATGTTTCATTCTTATCGAAATGAATACCTTTAATGGTAACACTTTGGTAGGAAGGTCGTCGGTTTACACAACGACGCCCGTAAAAGCCCACCTGTGTTTCATATTAAGTCTTTGTCTTCATCACGCAGGTTACACCCACTAGAAAATGAAAACATTCATTCATCGCACATAGATAGCTTACCTTTTACAGGAAAAAGCTTCAATTGTACTGTGATTGATCGCTTGATGAAAATCCAACCGCTCAAAAGCAATAAACACTGAGGCTTGTCGTTTCCTGTAAAATAAAGGAAATTGTTTTATCTTTTCATGTTCAAATCCATCATCAGTAATGAAAGTAAGACTTAGAAACTGAAATAAATGTACCAAAGATCGAACATGCACATAATATTCGGGTGACTTGCATCTCATCTTCCTTCCAATCATAGGAAATGTAAATGGTCTCAGTTACGCTCCTGTAAAAGATATTCGATTTTCAATCTTCCTCTTTACAGATCGAATTCTGCTCAAGTTAGGTCGAAGAAAAAGGTTTTACAGAGATTGACCCTGAAGAGGCGGGCATTTTGTATTCCATAACTCACTAAAATAATTACCCAGTTAACTAGCGCTGGTTTAAAGCTATTTATTGATCGAACCTAGTAGTTGTAAATGGATTTCAAAACGTGGATTTCGTACACACTGTTTGTAACTGTTTTTACGAACTCTTGACTTTTCATTTTCTATCGCAGATATCAGAATTCCCTTCAACCAAGTCGCATCAGCGATATGATCGGGACATGATGGGACGCTTTAATCTCCAAAGTCTTACTTAAGTAAAGACAACAGTAGTGAATACATAGCATAGTATCACTTGTTTTGAAACAGACAGTACTTACCATGATCAGCAGTCTTCAGTGTCTTTCTTTAAAAATAAATTCAGTTTTCTCTGTTCGTCCTTTGAGTTTTTCCCCTGCATACGTCCTACGTCACTCACATCAGACAGCCAATAAAATGCGATCATTTGTCTCTGGCACAAAGTAATTGGGACTGTCATTTTCACAGTTATTTTCGTTCTCAGGCCAACCAATGGCCCGTTCCTCCTTAAAGGTCTGAAAAGGAGGATACCTTTGACGGTTGACGGTTAAAATATTCCTATCTTGACACTTGACGGTTAAGTTTCAATGCATTTGACCCATGACGGTAAGTAGGTAGAAATCTTTTCTTTTGGAATCAAGTGTACTTGTACATTACGTTCAAACAGGGAGTCAATCATTGAAATAAATCGGTAATTCAGGTTTTTAACCCAGTGTCGTGCTCTGCGCAGCTCAAGTGCACTAGAGTTAAGCATTAAAATAAACGTTTTTTATAATCTTGACAATAACTCAAGTAAAAGCCAACAATCACTGTTTCTTTGAATATTCATCCATTACATGGGGTATAACATGTACATAAATATTTTAGAGCTCACCCTGTAAGATCATCGCCTGAAAAAACACACAAATTAGCAGCTGGGACAATAATTTCAAATTCAAGGCTTGGAATAGGGGAGCTGAATGATCAGCTTTGTAAATAATTTACAAAGCTGATCATCCTGTTATATTAGCGAGACATTTGGAAACGCTAGTTTTTAATTCTCTTCTGTCAGAGGAGCGTTCATGAGCAGAAGCCAATCGTTCGAGGGCCTGGGGAGGAGGATTCACTCAACACATATTGCAAGAAATCAACTTTTCAGAAAACCACACAACATTTAAGCCATAAATATCTCGTCATATTGTTGCGGTTCTTTAAATCAGTACATGCTAAAAGAAAGGATTGTTTCAATGCTGAACGGTGGTCTTGACGAATAATGATTTTGTGTTGCACGCTAAATGCGTGTTACCGCGCAAGTTTTTACATGTCGCTTGACGTATTTGATTGCGACACGAAATCACTGGGACCTAGTCGAAGTTAATTCTAACACAGCAGCATAAGTGTCAGTTGTGAATTTAAGTGAATGAGGAAGAGAATTGCCTATTTTTTTAAATAACAAAACAGGATCAGTATCGGCTTCTTGAACATCAGTTCCCTTTTCGTACATGTTGGCTCTTATTTGGTGTCTCACAATGGCCGAAAAAAATCTGCAAGGGGGACCGTGTGTGGTATTTCAGTCAACTGGCAGAGTTAGCTAAAAATCTAGTTGCAAAACTTCTTGATGTGCTTATTGCTTCAATATTGTATAAATTTAGGAAATATTCCTTGCCCCTAATAGAGGAGCGTCCAGAAAATAAGGATCTCTGCCAAGGAATGTTTTTTCCTGAGGGTCACGCCGTTTCTCTCTTTATTGTTTGCGGTGCTTTTTTCTACCATTGAGACGTAAGAACTTAAATCTTAAAAGAATTTTTGTCCTTAAAAACTAATATAATGATGTCAACCCTATATTGAAGTGGCCTGAAATGTCTTTATATGAGCTTTTGGGATTTGCCTTCAACTAGCTTTGTCTCCTCAAAGAAAGTAAGGAAGAACACTTTGCTTCCACAGTTTACTTTTAAAATCTAGTTAAGTTAAATGGTAAGAATTATCATGACACTAGCAAGATATCGGCAACTGGGGCGAAAGTCGAAGTGTTAATGCACTTCCATGTTTACTGTAAACATACTCTTGGATTTTCCGTACCTCCGAGTTGGCCAATCAGAACGCGCTAAAAGATAGAATCCTTGTGCGATATGTATGTACTAATCCATGTTCAAGGTACCAGCCATTTGTTTACAAAATAGCTTTACTTTTATTAGTCTTTCTTGACAACTTTATACTCCTAAAAGTCCAGGTCCGGACGATTCATCATTTCAACGGTACTATTAATAGCGTAACCACTTATTGCTATTAAAGTGGTCTCTCCCCTTTTTTCGACAGGTTTTTTGAACGCACTGTACTGCAGTGCGTAAATTTTCATAAGTATCCATGTAATCAAATTCAGACAACTTTATTTGAATGATTGTTCTGTACATCTGTGGTACAAACATTTCTAATCCTCTGTTTACAAATTACTTCTATGCATATATATATATATATAAACCTAAAGCGATTCGTTTAAATATTGTTCAACAATTTCTCCCCACCAAGAACCTTGATTATTCCTAAATCAGCTAGGATAGTGCACTTAAATATGATAGCAAGTGTAAGCCACACTTCTTAACAATAATATCTGTGCTATAAAATCGAGACAAGTTATATTCCCTAGGAACAAATTCCTGTTGGAAATGTTTTCCATTTCCAATACCCTGGCAATAATCATACCCTGTGATTATACCTCATCTTATACAATTATAATTCTCTTACAGGAATTATTTAACACTTCATGATAGCGAACGGCAAGCAAATTGTTCAGAAGTGTTTTCCCGTGAATTGGCGATATTTTTGCTAAGAAGGCCATATGTATCCAGCTATAAAAAATAAACAAGAAAAAGCCTAACATTTTCAAATTGTCTTACTTTTTGAGTTTTTCACCAGGGGGTTTACACAAGAGATGATTCGTAGATGTTTAAAATGAACCCTACTTTGAAGAGTGTAAATTATCACTTTAAAAGTTACACGCAAAAAATTTCATTTGACTGGGGATGGTTGGCTTAGGGTTAGCGCGGCGTTTAATTTCGCGGTTATTTTCTCCACAAAAACAGATGTGTCTCAAGATTTCGTCCAGCTGGCAAAAGAGCCCTTTCATGTGGACAGGGAAGCTACGGGTCTGAAATTAAGTTCCTCTTAGCCGATTGAAACTGTAACAAAAGTGTTCTTCTTAACATAGGGTCAACAAGCAAAACGAACTTCTGACCGGGAGAAGTCAAATTACTGTCAGAGCTATCCAAGGTAGCCATTTGCTCTAATGCCTGAGCCCGCGCATCTTTAAGGAACTGCCTCAAGCGGTCTGGGTCACCACTGTCATGCACTCCATCCGCCTCTTCGCTCTCGTCCTTTGCAATAACTACTTGATTTACTACGGCAACACTCCTATTGTCTTCTTCATCCTCTTGCAAGTCAATGTCCTTAATAAAGAGAGTTTGCTGGATGGTATCTGCGGCCTGGCCCACAATGAATAACGTGTCTCTGGTCAGCAGCACAGTTCCATCATAGTCATGCCCAGATGACGTCACAACAGTCGCTTCCAAGTGAAGAAGAAGATCAAGATCTTCCTGATTGTGCAGCATTTTCCTTATAATATAAAATGAATGTATGGTTCTTAGATAAAGTAGGTTTCCAAACTCATCTTCCCAATGAGAGATAAAGCTGCTGCAAATGCTTTGATTTTGAACTTTAAGTCAGTTAAAGCAGTTTGGTAACAGCTTCTCTGCAACAGTGCAACGATGCCATGGTGTAAGTATGCAACGATAGGCAAGAAAAGTAAAAGCCAAATAAAGTGATCTCTATGGAATACCGTCAGTATAAAAAATGCTCCTTGCCATAAAAACACTAATCATTGTTACAATTGTTGCAAATATAAACCTTGTAGTAAAATATACGGCTGAACTTAACGAAAATAAGCGGGATACAGAACTCCTATGAAACTGAAAAATCGAGAGAAACACAAGACGCCTTACCAGAAGTACTTCAAATGGCTGTTCTTAGCAGAAAACGCCAACCTTTCTCCAGGATCGAAGAGTCGATTTGGCAGCTCTGTTAAACCAGCCCCCTGTAGGATTCCCTGCCCAGTCTGTGACACCAGCTCCATGGCGCCACCCAGTGGCTTGGTAACCACACCTATTAGGCCCTTTCCTACACCAGTAATGACACCACTAGCCGCTTCTCTTACATCATTAGCTTGCCGTATTCCCTGGATGGGCTGATCTACTATACCCGCTACAGCGCCTAGGAGACTGAGACCGAATCCTCCAAGCCCTTTCGATAATCCTGCAAAAGATAAATCTTAGGCTTACGGCCACCTTGGCTTTGAAGAGAAACGTTCGAACAATACACCAAACAAGCGCCAAACTTATGAAACTTCTCACGACCCACTTTGTCGTGCTTTGTCTCTGAGATTCAGTAACCCAGTGCTTGATTATCAAATCCTGTTAAGGCATGAGCCCCCCTTTGGGGCGTGGATCAATAACATTACTCGAGAGAATGACAAAAAGGACAATAAAACTCCTTTTTTGAGATACCTTAACAGTAATAAAACCGACCATGGGACACAAAAGGTGGTGGCAAGTGAGTTAAACACTGCACTGACTTCTGTACCTGTTACCTTTTCGAAGACACATCTCTAAGCAAGGATCACTCTCTCTAATCCTGTAGAAGTTTTCGTATTGGAGGTTTCATTGTACTAGTTTAACTGCTGCTTCACAGAAGACAGTCCTTAGGTTTAACATAAAGTGGAAGAAGAAAAAAAAACAACTAAATTGTACCTGTTAGCACTTTCTTTGGTCTTCTGCATCTTTGCTCCTCTAGCAGTCGGAGATATTCGCGATCCATACTTAGTCGATCCAGGTTCCGAGCCATACTTGACGCAAGACTCGTGATGGACGTCAATGCACCGGTGGAAAGATGCCTAACGAAAGACGACATGCCTCGGGACATGCCCGACACGAACGCGCCAGGCCCGCGAGTCAGCCCGTCATAAGGTAAATAAAAGAAATCAGCTACCCCTTGACTAAAGCTTCTCACTAAACCTGCGGGATTCCCGAGAAGTTCAAGAGAACCCAATACCCAGCCCGCCTTGAATAGCGCTGCGGTCACGTAATGATAAGTGAGCTTCTGAACGAGGGCAGAACTTGGGAGATAAACCGGAGACATGTGAAACTGGCCAAGAGATAGAGGAGAATCATCAACAGACAAAAAGAGCTTGGCAGAGCCGTGGAGAGTGACGCTAAACGTTACGGGAGTTATTTTCAGCTCGCCCATTAAGATTGGTCGAACATTTGAACAAGCTGCATTTAGAATTTTATGTCGATCACCCTCCAAGTGACTAACTGACGTTGACGAGTGGTAAAGAAGAGGAGGCAGAAATGATACGGCCATATCCCCTAGACGATAAAGAAAAGTGTCCTCGATGTACATTGTCAGCGGTTGAAGAGTAACACATACAGAGCTAAGGAATATGTCTTCTGCGCTCGGACCAGGCTCATACACAATTTTGATACTGACCAGCGGCTTAGCTCTTGAGCGATGACCAGGTCTTCGCTGCGACGGCACTCTCTTAATCGTCATTGGAGCATTGCTTGGTGTTAGAATCACTGAAAACTCGTACATGTCGTCTTGCAATTGATTATCGACCTGAACTGCTCCAACGCACAAAGACAAGTCCCGGAAATTATGACCTCTATCCCTCAAAGTTTCTTCCGCAGAATGTTTCACGGAGACACCTTCAGCAGTTATTCGGAAAACTTCGTAAGGATTTCGGAAGTTCGTAACTTCATCTATAATCGTCACCCCTACCTGACAAATGAATAAATCAGCATGGATAACTGGTGAGACAGGCGATACACTTTGAACTGTATTGTCCCTCGCACGATCTTTTTCCAACGGTTGGACCTTAACGCAGGTACAAAGTCTTTCTTGAGTTACAGTCAATAGAACCTGTCCCCTCCCAGGCAAGTTGACACACACCTCCCTTAAAGAGTTCAAGTCAAAGCCATTACTCCACCCTTGAGGAACTTCAGTTGTCATCTCAGTAGCTAGCTCTCCCCGCTCACCTTCTTCCTCTGATATTTCTGCCACGTTCACGTCGTACAACGCTTGAATGTGCAATTCGGGAAGCCTCTGCACCTCACTGGAAGTAGCAAACCATTCGCGCATGACAGGAAGTTCATAATAAGTGGAACTGAAGGCCACAATTGCGGGAATCTCACCCAATCCCTGCATTTGTTCCACGACCACAATCTTTTCCGGAGAATCACTGACGTGGCTGGGGCTTTGCGGAGGTATTGCCTGCCCAAACTGAAGTGTGAAGGGGCAGTCGTTTTGGAGAAGCAGACGGGGAGATGGATCTGGGGAGACAACAATGTTGACTATACCGTTGGAAACGTGTGACGTCACAACTACAGGGAGTGTAGCGCTATCATCGACGGATACTGCCACGGATTGACGAGTTACTTCTGGCGTGACCAGCACAGCACGTGACCATTTAAGGTTTTTCACCTCACTAGTTGAAGATTGCGGTTCTTTTTCAAAGGCGAGAAACAACACAGGAGATGTTTGTCCACTAAATGAAGATTCCCCTTCTTCATTGACTACTACGGCGGTGGAAGAAGGCACGTCCCAAGAGGTGATAGGCATAAACTGCTTGGGATCGCTGGACAAACTAACTGCAGTAGCTCGGGTCAGATTATCCACTGGTATCTGTTGATTCAAGGAATGAGCATCCTGGTTAGGAAGCCTATTTCACAGATTAAATCCCTTGTTTGGGAAAAGCAGGAGCTGCAATAGTTACTACAGTGGAAGGGTGTCTAGTTAATCATAATGAATCAAACACAGAGTAAATATCACATTGGGTAAACGAGAACTCTGAAAAAACGAATGTAAATGGACTCCGACGTTAATTTAATATCTGACTAGTGACGGTAGCGAGTGATCTCAGGACCAATTACGGAGCGAAGGAAAGACAAACCAATGCAAATCGGATTATTTTTGACACATCACTATTAATAATCCTTGTTAAAAAAAACCCCACAAATCATGGATACCATAGTCTTTGTTTAGACAGTAATTTGTTAAGCCGCTTACCCAATCGTTACATAATAACTTTGAAGTCTTTTCCAAGTCCTCCCCCCCTCCAATCCCCTCCGCTCCAAAGCCAGCGATTGTCAACATGGAGCTGCGGTCGTCTTTTTCAAAAAAATCTAGAAATTCTTAGACTATATCGAGTTTTGAACTGTAATTTACTTCGCAAGGAGGCTTCACTTTTCTCCTTGAAAGAAAACGTTGGAAAAGTTATTGAATACATTAATTCTTTCCTCCACCCAATTGGATGATAGAGATATAAAAGAACTTTAAAAACACTCAGCATAAAAATATGAGAAAAAGCTTTGAAGAGAGTGTGTGTTGTTAGTCGAGTTCGACATTTGCTAAAAGATAACACAAATTAGAATGATCATTGGTTACCTTTTTGCCAGAGGTCACTAGAACAGGATGGACAACTAAAGGCTTTCCAAAATTGTTTATCATTTGAAATCTCTGCTCAACTGATACGATCTTGATTCCCCGACACATCCGAGATGTAATGGTCCAACGAGCACCACGAATATCACCCGAACTCAACACGAAAGCGATCGGAACAGACAGGCCTTCATCGACATCGTTTGAGGATGCCTCTCGAGTGCTGGGTGAATCCGATGGAAGAGACACTGCTTCGGACCAACTGCCATCTTTGTTTCCAAAATAAGCACCAAACTTCACTTTTCCCTGAGTAAATAATTTCTAGACAGTCAATTGGTTTAAAAGAACAAAAAAAAAAACCAACAAACCAAAAAAAAAACCCTGCTCCTAGTTTTCATTATGTTTGAGCATTGATTAAATGATGTTCTAGTTGCTAACATGTTCCAAGAATAATTTAAAGCTGTGTTTTGGCATATAAACAAAAATGACATTCAAATTTCCACAGGTGTTAACTTAGGAAAAAGCTACTATTGTGTCAAGTTAAAAAGAAACCTTTCTTTTCAACCTAAAAAGTTGAGTTTTGTGATTTGATATCGAAAACACCAAATTTAAGTCGTTGATAGAATACGCCTGCAAGGATGCACATGTTTGAGAACCGCGAATAAAAAAAACAAACAAACAAACCAAAACAATGACGAGTGAAAGTGACGGATTTAACAGTATAGGCGCGTAGTTTACTATGGTTGATTAGGACGATTTAATAATTCTCAAAAACAATATGAGTTCTCATACTGTGATTCTGTGAGGCGCCACGACTGAGCCACTCGGCAAATCTATATCAACGTCTCGTTCCAGGTCCCTGATGATCACGTGCACAGCAATGTTGTTAACCAGCAAACACCAGGGTAATACTTCAACCAATAGCGAGCTGAGATGAGGCCACCGTTTTATCACGCGGCACTGTACCTCAATAGCAGGGATTGAGGACGGGTTTTCACGCATATCTGTACAAAGAAATAAATTGCAAGTAAAAGCATTACATTCTCTAAAATCATGGATGATGGCGGTTATGAAGATAATTTGTAGAGCCAGGTTGTTGCTACACTCAAAATTTCGCGTGCAATCAGTCGGGCGGTCATTTGCGTTTTTATTTTGTTGTTTTTGTTGTTTTTTGCCTTTTGTCGTTCTGTGATGTGTTATGCATGGCCTTCCCTTGGTTAACCCTTCAACCCCTGTGACTGACCAAAACGGAATTTCTCCTTACGATATCCATACAATATCAAGCAGACAAGTGATAAGAATAAAGGAAAATATCAATTAGAGGTTGATTATCGGTTGATCCAACACCAAACTCTCCAAACTAACAACATAAGAATTATATGACACACAATAACGAGAATTTCTCACGGGTTCTTGTGAGTGAAAGAATTAAAGCACCGTAACAATTCTCTCCTTGCGTCTTGAAACTGTCAGCCTGTAGAGTTAAATTATTGTTTCAAACAAAGCATGACACCTATCCTCTCATTCCGGTTGTCATAAGTTTCTTAACACATTAAAAAATAAAGCAAAATCATACGAATCACGTAACAAACAACTTTGACCTTGAGAAGGTGCATCTATCTTGGTTCCAAGTTGTGTTTTATCCTCGTTCACGTCACAACCAAGTGATAAATTCTTCACCAGAGAAGACTCTGGTTTCTCCTCTGATATAATATCACATCGCCTAAAAAAATATTTTGAAAAGTAGTATCAAGACCTGATTTTGAAAAATGTGTCTAAGATAAATTTCCCTCCTTCCAAAATTTTATAAGACAATGTGAGTATATACACAGTGTCCTACATTTGGTGCGGAAAAAAGGCTCGGAGTAATTTTATTTATTATTCAATAATTATACATACACTGTACGAATTCCGATTTTCTGATTGATTGACTTGTATCACGTGATACTGGGTTGTCACGAAACAACCTCCTTGACTTCATTATCGTGGTGTAATAGCCGTGGTGTAAATTCAACCCACCACTGTCCTTACACCATAGCTACGGCTGACTCAAAGTTGGACGATTTGTCAGATGCGGTTTGTGATTCTCTTAATGATAACGCAATACCTAGAAACACCAATAAGGCAACTGCTTGGGGAATATCTGTTTTGAAAGGAAAGGTTGCGAATTTTAAATTCTTCATTCAAGTTAGTTAACGCGTTTTTACGTGTTGTCAACAGTTCAGCATATAGTGGTTTCAATGCACTGTTTCTTTGTGCAGTGTATTCAATTTGAATAATAAAAATGTGGACGAACTCATTGCTCGTGAATTATCAGGATTTACCTGTACTCGTTCACAAACAATGAACTCGAAATTGTCAATACCGCACTCGGCAAGCCGAGTATTGAAGTTTCTCTGTCAAATTCCGATAATCATTCGCTAAGTTCGTTAACCTGTAAATACTCTCCTCTACCGGCGGAAATAAAATGTAGGAGGTTTCTGGAGAATTCTTTTTCTTCAATATAGTACAGATGTACCAGTTAGTAACAGAGGTACAACAGTGTTTGCCTTTACCGAAAATACTGATGATTCTCGCAGTACGGCCAAATATCAGCCAGCGGTCTGTCCTCTTCCTTATCGTCACTATTGTTCATCCTATTGGCTAATTCTATTAGTGTGGTATTCAGTGGCACAGAGGGACTGGACCATTTACTTGAGCCAGTAAATTGAAAAGTCAGGTGATGCCACGAGTTCGGAATTAGGCTATACATCTGTTGTTCACGTGCTCGGCCTTGCAGTTGAAGGACTGAAGCCGAGTTCGTATTGGCCGTGAATACATTCATGAGGACTGGTTCGGGCAGATGGCTCCGCATAACAAACAGAGGAGATAAGGTCACCTAGAAAGCAATGTCAATAAGACAATAGAGGAGCAGTGAAATTCTACAGTCTTGCAGAACAAAAGTTAAATCTATGCAAGACGAACACCCTCGTCTAACTTTTCCTTTTGAAAGAAAATTCTTACCAATTTTTTCATACAAAACGCAGTGTTGTGGCGTTTTATTTCGCACGACACTTCAAGATTTTTGAGGCAAGGACACAAACTCAAATTTCGGTAATAAAACGTTTTTAAAGCGCCACTGGAAACAAAACTAGCTTAAAGGGCCATGCAAAACTTGCCAACTCAGACTTAAAAGAATGCAACGGAGAAATCCTATGCTTTTATTTCTTCGAACACTGACTTTGGCGGACAACGACCTTTGGCGTTCACCAACACACTCCTACTTGTTGACTATTTGACGCCGCACACCCAAAAAATTGCTTTTGATTATTTCAATATCAAGCAAAAATGAAATCCAACTGTCGTACAATTGGTCACGTCCTGCACACCAAAATCAAGATGCAGCCCAAAGGTAAAGAGAAATGCTTACCTTAATCTGATCTGGAGATCCAGGTTTCTCTAAGTTGTACCAGAAATAAAACGTCTGGAAATCTTTAACTCCGAGAAGCTGTAAAAAAGTAAACAGCTTTTCACCAAAGGCCTTTCTTTCAAGAGCAAAGTTCTGCCTTAGGCTCGTTCGGATGAAGCCTATTTTCAAAACGACGTCGAGTAAAGTGCAAAGGTATTAACAGTCAAATTGACAGCCACATGAAATCAATGGAAATTAATTCCTATAAAAATTTCAAAGCCGTGCGACGTCCTTCACAGTAGTTCGCACTGGAAAGATCAAGATTTAGAGACAGAAAATGTAGAAAGTAAAGTACAAAAGGGGATTGAAATTTTACTATTTTGCCTGAGCTTTTCCCCTATTTTCAATTGATGGATGCATCATGATTTAGTTTCCCAAGTGGGCTCTGAGTCAGGGACAAAAAGCAGTCATGATCTGATTGACAGGAGCGTTCACTTTCGGTGCCGCTTGTCATCTCCATGATTGATTTAGCAAACTCATAAACATAAATAGATCAAAATATATGCCCATAATTACCTGCACAATACAATGATGCCCTGTACTCCCTCCCTCTCCATACTCCAGTGGTAACGCGTCAGACCACGTGGTATCGTTAGGAATACGAATGCGCATGCCTGCTAGGCCGCCGTGGGAAATGACATAAGATGGCAATGTTGTGTTGGCTGGTAGAGAAACATCCTCAAGAACCTAAATTGAGCAGACTTTTTAAATGGTGGTTTTCAACACCATTATCAAGAATTATAGCTTTTGGATACTTGAGGAACTACATCACAATCAAGTGGCGGAACTTAAAATGGTTGAAAAGATTCTTCAAGTTCACCATTTATAATTCTTTTTTCCTCTCCATCGTTGATTATTCTTATCACGACGGCCAATCAGAGGAAAGGAATATGTCCAAAGAGCCAATGAGAACGCAGAGTAAAACCAACCAAACAGCCCGGCTGAAGCGCGGGAAAACGCGTGTGACGACCAAGTAGTGATTGGTATTAGTTTTGTATCTGATTGATCGAGGGAATGGCGCCAGTTTTGCGGACCAATCACAAAGTAAAGTAAAGCAAAACCAATGCAATCCCAGAATACTTTCGACACTCGATTGAAAATTGCTTTATCATCCCTAATTTTATCAACAGTACCTGGTAACGGGCTTTGGATGACTGTTCAGTGTTCAGGGAGGGGTTGGTAAGAATCTGCACATCAACATCGATTGAAAGGCGACTAACAATGATATGACTTCCGCGAATGATAACCTGAAAAAAAACAGACACAAAAAAAAATTTTGAAAAAAGCACAGTTTTAAGTCCACGTAGGAAATATAGCCCATTTCTGTTCTTTGTGCGTATGTAAACAATATCATGTCGCAGCTGATAAATCAACAAAAAGCTTAGAACAATCATAATTCTGAAACGGCTGAATACATGTGGCTGAAATTTACTCAAAAGCATAGCCTTAACCTCCAAAAGGATATCCTGAAGTTGAAACACGGGACTTCCCCTTACCATTAGCTTAGTAATGGCAAATGACGCCCACTAGGTTAAACTTCAATCTTTTGGTCAACACATTTGTAAAAATCGGCTGACTTCATTGACGTATAGCGCAAAAGCATCACGCCATCGGCTTTTGCCACGCCCAGATCACGTGCTTTTCCAACACATAAATCACATTCAATGAGGGGAAACGTATGATGGAAATGTTTACTTGACGAAATACATTGAAACTCGTGCACGGAATCACTTATCAACCAATGACATCAGTACTTGGGGGTTAAGGAGTCGCGGAAAATCTACGAGAAGGCGCATTTGCATCCACATTACAGAACGATAATGAAGCTTGCCATTTATAGAAGTTTATTGACCAATTATCCTTGCCGATTCTGACAGTAGATGTTTTGAAAGACTTACTTGCTTCTGCATACCAGAAAGCTGTTTAACTTCGATGAACAGAGTTGCACTGTGTAGACGATGATGAATAGTTCGACTAAACACGCCAACAGTATCAATATCAAAAGGTTCTGACCAGCGCCAGTCTCCCTCGGTCTCGATACACACGTGTAGCCTGGGGCAGGCCTTCACAGTATGTGGTGTTCGCCAACTATACGCATGCACGTGACGGCTCATTAATAACAATGACTCGTCTGTGTCCACCTGAAAGTAGGCGTGGGAAAAAATAACAATATGAGCACTCTTCAATGGCTTGCTGTATCTTGATCACGACAGCCAATCTAAATGGTAATGTTGGTTCAGAGAGTGACCAATCACAGACGGTAGAATAAGTGGTTCTTATGCAGTACATAATACTTCAAATTACTACCTTAAACTAACAACTTGTTTAAAACGAATAAAACTATACTAAAGTATCAGTAAAACGTCTCAAATACTACAGTAACTGAATGGTCAAAATTATACCAAATTACAGTCCTGTCTTCATTTTACAGTGCTGTCAACGATACAACATTGCTGGAATTGGATGAAATTAGTGAACAAGCGCTTCTTCAGAAGAGACTCCTTTTTTCTGCTCCGTAGAAATCGTTATTCCAGAATTCAAAACGTATTTCTACCGTAGTAAAGGTAGCAAGCAACAACAACATCAGCAACCCGTCATTCCTAACCCATTCCTTCCTCACCTGACCAAATCTTAGAGCCTCGTTGGTGTCATTGCAGATAATGTAATGGTTAAAAATAACCCTCTGAGCCTCACTCTGTCCAGTTTGACACCAAGCCGTGGCGGACAGTGCGATTGTGTGGATTGTACTTTGACTGACATGTGCCAAGATTGTTCCCGCTTCAAGACTAGCATCAATCCACACAGGGGGAACCGTGGGGCGATCTTCGGCTTTAGGGGGCATGGTCTGCGTAATAAGAGAATAACATCAAAGCAACCAAGAGAAACAACATAACAAATTTAAGTTAAAAGTGAAGATTAATTTGGGGACAGACAAATGAATGATATGAAAGACGAGAATCATGGATTCTTTCCTTAGAACTTCAATTGACACAGAAATTCATTTGGAGGCGAATGGAACATTATCAACGTTGGCTTCACGTTCCCAACCCCTATGAGAGTAAAAATTAAATAAAATACAAACCCAATTAAAAAAGCATAATATACTGATTCCACTACAATTGTTGTTACAAAGCTGATAACGACTAGTTTATCAAGGTGAACGAAAGCTGAGACTAACTCCAAACAGCCACATTGTTGCTGAGAACATTCAAATCGATACTTAGCAAGCAACCAAAGGCATTTTCCTCTTGATTACGAATTCCTTTTGTGTTATCAATCTTAAATTTTTCTGATGTAAATTACCACAGGAACGACTGTCTTACTCTTCCTTCGTGGTACATGGCCACGGTAAGGCCCACATCGAAAGGGCTCAAGAGAGGTCTATGGGTAAGGTCCCCATAGTCCAGCACCTGCGCGTGGCAGTTCCACTCTGCCTGAACTTGTAAGAACCCTCCAGTCCCTCCAACATCCTTGATGACACCACTGAGCCCCTCAACGCTCAGAAGTAAAAATTCTTGGTCCGTTGGGAGAAAGGGATCTATAGTAAACTGCCTTAGGTACTGGGGAATAACTGCAAATGTAAGAACGAAATAGTTACTTTAATAAACGAGTTCTTGGGAGTGAGTGTACAGGCGCTGGATTGGGATTTGAAAAGTCTGGGTACGAGCCCTACACGGCTCATGCGTTGGGCGAGACAGAAACTGTAACACTGCCCCTCACCAGCCCATAATTGTAAAAATAAGCTGACGAGCTCGATGTTTCTATCTTGTGATAGTTGATGAGGGCGAAGCCCGAATAAACTACAGAAATTTCGTCCTTTTTTTTTTTAAACTTAAGAGCCGAGCAAACCTTTGTAAACCAGAAGTGAAGGAGATGTAGTTAATGTACTTTTTCAGCACACCATTTTCAAAGGCAGTCTCCGAAGAATTGCTTATATTCTCCCAAATTTTCTGAGCAGTTGTTCACTACCACACAACGGCTTTAACCGTTCTTTTTCTTTTTAACAGTCTACTAAAATGATAACAGCTCCAATGCATACAGAAAAAGAAGAAGAGCTGAACGAGAAGTGTTCTTCTATATTCGAGAAAGGTTACGTTAAAACAGACCATATAAGCAGAAAAGGCAGAATAATCTTTATGTTACCTCGGCCGATCGCGTGCAGGTGATTGGTGAACTTGACTTGTAACATGCTGATATTCAGCTGAGCTGACAAGGCGGGATTGAGATCCGGCTTCACCACAGAGTTCACTTTGACAGAAGCTGCCAGTGAAGCAGCACTCAGTAGAGACCGGTATGGAGACGCATAAGAGGTGGTTAAGTAATCATCATCATCGTGGCTGTGAAAAAACAATAAAAGTTTGCCTACTAAAGTACTTAGTCAAGGAAACACAAGATAATAACCCTGAACCTTTAACTGCAGACAAAACAGCTGAGATCGCCAAGAACCATACGCATCTAGATAGCTTTTTTCACGATTTGCTTCACCACGGAGCCTCCGGCCGCCACTTTGTTGGTATGAGCGCTACTCACGCCTGAAGATCAAACCTAGTAAAGGTCTGCAATGTATCACAAAATATTTACTTAGGAGCCCTACGCGACATCCGAAAGAACAGCTACCAATAAGACTATCAATCAACAAGAACAACTGGAACAGACCTATCACCTTACGCATCAATGTTTTTTTCTTTTATAGGTAAATCACCAACGAGACGACAGTGCAAAAACTTAAAAATGGAGAATTCTAGGATCAAGTTCACCATATTAGTCTCCCTTATTCATAAATACAAATTAACTGTGTGACTGTGTCACGAACCTTCTATCATCCGGGTATTCAATGTCCACCGTCACGTCTACTACCATCTGCCACTCGGCAGCGACAATCACTTCTGCGGGGTGGGCCTTAGAGGGATCAGGGAGTGGAATGTGAGTTGCATTATTCTCCGACAGGGTGAACTCTTTGTAAGTAATGAAACATTTCTGAGTTGGATCCCAATACCGAAGAACACACGGTACCTGAGAAGAATAAAAGCAAAATTAAGAACACTTGAATTAGCTTTTGGCTACAACTTGGATAACTCGTTAATTCTTTAGAGCTAAAAAAATTACCTACACCTACACTTTGTGTGTAGACCACATATAGCAAAATTATTCCAAAATGCTTTAGCATATCATGTGATACCTGATATTCATCGCCCATGTTCAAAGTGTTCACCAAAACAGGTGTCGACAGAGGCAGGGGTACCATATCAACCGCAGACAGTGCTCGGGGCTCGGGGTACCTCCAAGTCATCGCAGGAGGTCTTTCACTAAATTCCGATGTAAACACAACTTCCCACGGCTCTGGATGATGCGCCTCTCCCTCCCCTGTAACAAGGCAAACATAATTTGTTGAAACTTGTTCTGAAGTACATGGCCATTTAGGACAGAATTCGTTCAGGAACAACCTTGCTAGTGTGAAAGCAGCGGAAACATAGGCCAGTCAGTAAACTCAAAATTCAAGAAAAACTAAAAGGCTGTTTTGTACTCGTTTCAATGACACTTTTTTCTCCATTACCTGAGGCAGTTACGTATCTAAAGCAGCCAGCCCGAATATCGTCAAAAGACTCAAATAGAACAACCCGCTCAGGTTTCACGGGTGTGAGATCACTCTTATGAACACAATGTTCCTCCATTTCTTGATTTACCGTGGTTGGACTGAAAAACTGTTTAGCAAGATCAGCGAGGACACTAAGGCAAGTCACGTGCTCTTGACCAACATCGACCTGTACGAATCCGGCTTCAATAACCGCGTAGAGCTGAGGAATACCGCGGCCACTGGCAAGAAAAACAAGTAACGAAAGCTTATTCGGTAAAACAAGGATATTTATCATATGAGCACAAACTGGCAACCACCAGGTTTTCAAACAAACTATTGCAAAACAACTTTGGACGTCCAATTGGAAAAAATGAAAAACTAATACGTGTGATAATACACACGTTAATTTCTGTGGCCACTTCTGGTTCCAGTTTTTAAACATTGCATCAGAGGAGAATTTCCGACTCAACTTAAAGTCGTCGACGGTATGTGAAGCAGGAAGATTTAGGACGCAACAAAAACATTCAGACAACAATGTTGTCTGCTTTTAACCTGTTCTCAAAAAACCAGAACATGTAGCAGCAACAAAATTTTGTGTAACAGAAACGGCTTGGAGATCATCACCCTTCTTGAAGGAGGCAAGTTAGAACAAGGAGGGAAGGCGGGAGAGGGAGGGAATAAGCCTTGATTCAGAAAAAAAAATACTGTTTTTGTTACACCACAGCCTAGAATAAGCTGTTATTTTTTTCAAGGCAAGTAAGTATTAAATACTTCATACTGAGTAGTAACTCGCGATCCTGACGTTTGAACATTGGTGTCCGACAGGAGGTCCACGGGTCTGACGAGGAAAGGGGGTTCCTTGGATCCACCACTGAAAAGCAGTAACACGCTTCCGGTGGAAAACAAACTGTAAGTTATCTAGAAATTAAACACATACCTCTGCAGATACAGATCGCGACTGTGAGGCTCCCAAACCATCTCCAAATCGACGGAGCAGCTAAACGGATGAATCAGCGAACGACATCTGTCGTATACTGAGGTAGATAAACCCACCCCATGTAACTGCAATCTTGTGTCTGCTCGTTTTAAGTTTCCTTGTATATGAAATGCCGAAAACAAAAAATAGTATAAATACACGTTTGGAATGAAAAAAAATTAACCTCCACTCGAATTTAGAGGATTTTATTACAAGATACAGAAAGTTACAAGCGAAAAACTTTTAGATAACGATTCTTTTAATATGGAATGTTTTTCTACTGAGATTTTTGGAGCCATGGAGAAGAAACTGAGATTTTGTTGACATTAATGATTCCTATAATAAGATCTCTGATGGTTAGTAATTTAGTGTCAACAACTGAGTTGAAAACGTAAATTAGCCCTTATAAAGAGTAAAAAAGCTGACGTTTCGAGCGTTAGCCCTTCGTTAGAGCGATTGACGAAGGGCTAACGCTCGAAACGTCAGTTTTTTTACTCTTTATGGCGGCCAAGTTACGTTTTCAACTCAGTTGTTAACACTACATTACCTACTATACTCTCCCACCGACCCAGCACCACAGTTTCTTTAGAAACTTACCCCCGTTATTCTCTGATGGTTAACTTCATTAATCCTTTGAACCCCAAGAGTGACTAGCATCTAATTTCTCCTTACAATACTCCTCCCTCCCCCACACGTTAGGGTCTCGAGAACATAAGAAATAGTCACCAACAAGGAAGCTCTTGATTGTTAAACACTTTCTCATTTTCAGCACCGTAGGGAATGTGTAGAAAACATAATGAAGAATATGTATACTGATGTTGGGGTTTAAAGGCTTAATTGAGGACCGGAGAGCTTTTATCTTTGTTCTTCTCCACAGACTCACTGTGGAATAACCTTAAAACAGGCAATTACAAAAACGAGTACGCACATGATCTGCTCAAACATACCTTGTTCATCGAGTTTGAGACAAATTTTTGACTCAATTCCAAGTAGACTGCCAAGCAGTTTGGGTTTGCCGGGAATTGGAGGAGCCTCCAGATGAATAAATATTTCCGAGGTATTCAAACAAAAGGACCTCAAAAGAGATGTCCTTCCTGACGCTCTCATCTGGGTACCCTTGGCTCCTAAATGCTCCTCTTTAAGAACGACCAGGCCGTCTAGGAATTCTGTCATTTCTTCAGCCATTTCAAGGTTTAAGTTCAGGTGAAGAGAACGGCCCAGTTCTACAAACACGTCAGCTGAAATAAAAGAACAGTTGCATTTACATTAGAATCTGATTTTGTGTCACGTCTACTTTGCGCTTTGTGAACAAAGAATGTATGAAATCTCTGAAGACATTACCGTTGTGAGAATTCTTTTAAATCAGTAAGAAAGTAATTCCTGTTTATTACCTTTGCCACAGAGGAAATCTGTGATGTCTACAGTCACAAGTGATGGCAGAATACCACTGTGAGGATCAGGGAGCCCAGCTCCACTTTTAAGCCAATCCTCAGTATAATCAGCTGGATCAGGCAGCGGCTTGAACACTGGAACAAAAGAAAAACAATGGCTTGCGTCGGTTTTCCAGAGTATTAACCAACATCTCTGTCAGCCCACCTTACCAGGGTGTTGTTTCCTCCACGCTAATCTCCCTTCACGTCCACTTTTTCTCGCAATACATTTTTTCAATCTTCTCAAAAAGCACTTCACAGGCAGTTTTTTCGGCAACGAGCAAAGTTACGTTAATTTGAAAGTATCTTAAGAATAGCAGTATGGTCTTGAAAATAAAAAAGCTACAAAGAATTTGGTACAAAACAAACCAGGATGTCTAAACCTTTAACTCTCATACCTGATCAAGACAGAATTTCTCCTTACAATATCATTATAATATTGAGCTGAATAGTAATGAGAAACAAGAAAAATATTTATTAGGGGATTATTCAGTTACCCAATACCAAGTCCTCCGAACTAAAATCATAAGAATTGTAGGAAAGACATTAAGGAGAACTATTAACGAGATCTTGGGAATGAAAGGGTTAAAGATTGAGGAGAATGACTGACACGGATTGCTAGCATCGCTTTGAAAATGTAGACAACATGTACATTTTGAAAATACACAAACAGAAACGTTGCTCCTAAAATTTCGAGAAAATCTTGTACCTTTTTCTGTAGAAGGTCCAGTGATGCTGATGTCAAAACAGGAAACCTGAATCCTTGGATCACTAGACTGTGTGTTCACGATCAGAGCAGGATGAACCAGTTCAACTCGTAAAACAGGTTTAATCTGAATAGATTTGCCCCTCCCCGGCATACTTTGTTTAGAGGCAAAGACTCTGTCTTCAAATTTATCTTCGAGTAGAAATTGAGAGTAAACTGCTGCTGATAGTTTCCTTCCGGTAAGGAAGACTTCCCACGGAACTTCACTTTGTTTTTCAGGTGGTTTGTACGTGTTGCACGAGCCTTTTTCCACAGGAAATTTTGAAATTCCACTCCTGTCTTTTCTGAAATTTGGAGACAGATTACTACGTGTGCTCTCGAACCCGCTGTCGATTCTGTCAACACTTTGCAAAAAGACATCGTCTGGGCTACGGACTACAGAAGAGTCAGAAGATGCTTTGGCGCTCTCATTCAAAGGCACGCTCCACGAATTGGAGAGGGTTTTTAGATTCTCTGCAGAAAGAGTCTGAAGCAGCTGAATCTGTCAAAAAAAAATAACATTGTGTTCTAGGCTAGTTTCTCAAAATCGTGAATATTACTAAGTATCTAAATAACCTCAACTTGGGAAGCTGGTTCTGGCGTTACCCAAAAATCATAATAATCCCTGAAGAGAGTTGCCAGTTGAATGCAAAGTAAGTTTAGCTTGAGGAAATTGATTTGTCAGATTTGCCGTAAAGCTATGGAGCCTATTTATCGTTCGTCCGTTGCAGTTGGTCAGTATCAATCTGTTGGTAAAACAGGTCATTTAATTCGACTCGTTTGTTGCTGGCCAGCCACACAAACGACTAACAAAAAAAAAACTACCTCGAAAAACTATTCACTTGACTCTGAAGATGACTTATGTATGGATCTGGACAAAACCGTATTTACTCAATTAAACGCCGCAAATTGAGGAAAAATAAACAATGAAGGCTGCACACAGCCACAACAATGGGAAGGTAGTCGAGGATTGGAAGGGAAAAGAAGTACGATTCCGTTTATATTTTGGCCAAGAAAGACTTATTGGAACTTAACCACGATTCCCTTTGAAATAATAATTACGTTTTATCTATTGCTGACTAATTTGAGAGATATGATTTTTAAATACACGCAGCCCTTGAATAAACGCTGCATCGAAACGCTGAAAATTGGATAAACGCCTCAGCGTTAATTGGGTAAATACACTGTAATTCGAGTAAAGAACACATGTACACTTATCTAATTCTTTTGGTGTCAATATACCTGTTCCTTGTTAAGAAAACAATCTACGTCTGTGACGACATTAAACTCCAGCGACCACCCGCAGACTTGGATTCTTTCAGACACTGTTGAGCGGTCCACTGCCACGTATATCTCTACTGATATCGCGGGAGCAAGAACCACTCTAAAGTCTGAACCGGAAATTATTTGAGTGACGCGAACTTCCTCTGTGCCACGCCTAATAAAGAGAGAAAGCCAAACATAGGGTCATTCTTTAAGCAATCTGGTACATTCATTACACACCTGCAACTGTGTTTCATCTTGGTATTTCCAGATTATCATACCATATTTCCTTTGATGGCTCATTTCGATTTATTTTCCTCGTTATTTAGCCAATAACAGTATTTTCAGGTTAGAGTTGCTGCTCTTCTTTAAGAAAATCATTTCCACTTCAAACTGGAAGAGTCGGTTTGAATTTAAATGGATGAGACAGAAAACAGAGTGCAAGTGACCGGCGGACTAGACCAACACAACATTTAATGAATCAGCCACTTGATCTTGACCTTTTCAACGAAAAACTTTCATAAGAACAGGATATTTGACTGAACATATGAAAAATAGATATAAACAGAAACTACCATGTTGTTTACGTCATTACTACCCGCTATATGACTGATCAATTGATAATTCATCGCGCATTTCATGAACACCCTCATCTGAATTATAGGCCAATATAGCATGGTTTATCGATTGCTCGTATTTTATGTCAAACCACTGAATACGACATCTTTAACAAACACATACCACATCTGAGTGTTCCACTCGAGTGCTGGATTCTGGTCCACTGCAATACCAACTAGTTCCTGGTCATCCTCATGTTTGTGTTTCTCGCAGAGTTGTTCCCAACTCCCCGTCCACACTCCAAACCCGCACAGATCAATCTGGTACTGAACATCATGGATGTCATAGCCCAGGGCTTGCCTGGAGCCACGACCGAATTTACGAAACTTTTCGTAAAACTTGTGATTCAAAACTTTCCTGGAGTTTGGGTTGTCAGGGTGAGGAGAAACAGCGACTGTTGAAAGTTGAACTACAGCCATGTCCTCTTGAGAATGAATTCTTCCCGATTCCTGTGCCGAGTTTGGATCCTTCCCAGCGAATAAACCCGGAATGAATAATCTTAGATTTCTCATGTTGACAAAAAGAAGTGGTAAGAGTTCAACATTAACAGTGAGACTTTCAGCTTTTTCCGCTTCTTCGTCGTTCTTAGGAATGAACATATTTTCTGTCTTCTCGGCGTCATTCTTGTCTTCAGACAAATAACGAAACTTCTCTAACAAGCTTACATCAAACGTGTTAAGAGCCGAAACGATAGCTGGGCACCACAACACGACATCAAACGGCTGAATATTGACGTGCACTTCGTGCTGGTCTTTATATTGGTCTTCCTCTTTACCAGTCCTCTCCACAGAAGAAGATCTGCGTCTCTTTAAGTGAAGGGAGGAGCGTTTGTACATGATCGTGAGAAATCCGTGCGCTCCTGGGCCTGGATTTTCCCGGCGACCGCTGGACGGACGCCTTGCAGACGTGAATAGTGATTTGGACGAGATGATGTCATTACAGGATAATAATATGCCGTTGAAATGACCAAGTTCCCAGAAACCATCAGAGCTTTTTAAATGAAAACAAATTCAAAATCAGTCTTAGCGGACGTTCACACCTATATTTTGCAACTTCGGTTTGTGTTAAAACTAAGACATGGAGTTTTTTGCATTATCTTGGAACACTTTTGTAACTTTGGCATAGTACGTAAATTAGAAAACTACTACTTTATCATTAAAACTGGTCTCTGCCAATTTCCCAGATGTCCGCCTACGATCACTATCCTCGTGCCGTCAGAAAACTTTGTTCGTCATTTCAAACCCAGTCTGTTACATATGTACATCACCTAAATTCCGTCGTGCGCCTTAAGTTGTGATCAACACTAACAAGATACATTATTGTACCACATAAACATCTGAAAAAGACACCTGTGTGTGAAGTGTGAAATATTGAAAGCTCCGATCTTGCACTGCATTTGAAGTATGGTGTCACTGAAATCAACTGAAGCTGTTAGGTCCTCTAACTCGGCACTGACGCATACAGCCGAATGATCGACCGCTGATCGACTATATAGATTAGCAACGACTCGAGGAAGAGTCCATTGCAACCACAGGGAAACTCGAATGGCGTTGGAAGGCTGAAAGAAGTAAGAAGTAAAAGAAAGACCATGATATTATAAAAGACGACTACTTAGTTATTGCAAAAGATTAGCGGGTGCTTTTGCTTTCTACAGAAAAAAAAACCAAATATACTGTCTAAGTATATTAGTAGCGGCCGTATGAAGCCGACATTCCTCAATTTACACATTACATTTTAGTTTTTTGCCATTAACATGGTCAGGGTTTAAGGACCTCAGCAGACATGCCCAGTCAACCCACCCCCCTTTTGCTTTTGGCATACCTGTTGGACTTGTGAAAAGGTCGTTGATGACACGGTTTCGGTTGGTGCCATCTCACTCTCTACTTGGTCTTGAAAGGATGATGAAGCAAGAGAGGTTGTCCGTTTCATAGCTGGAGCGGTGGGATGGGTGACGGAAGTAGGAATACCGGAAGTGGTGTCGGCGGAAGAGGAAGATGTTGGGGTTGAAGAGCAGGTTGTGAGAACACCCTCCAACAAGTTGGCGACTAACTGCATCTAAGAAAGCGAAAAAAGAGTAAAAGCAGTCTTAAAACAATTACGAATGACACGCTTCCAATTTCCTTGTCGAAAGTAAGAAATACGAGGTTGCATGAGGGTCTCAATGAGGTGATGGCTTTTACGGCTTACGGCTTACGGTTGGACGGCTAACGGTTAGAATCCTTCCAATTTTTTAGCGGTTAACTTTTTTTTACGAAATATCGGTTATAAATTGTTAATTTTTACGCCTATCGGATAAATTTTTTGGCCGTTTATGGCTTTTGGTTGACCCCATTGTGACCCTTTTGCATTGGTTCAGGATCTGGCAAACTCACGTAATCCCCTTAGCAAATCACAGGCATAACCAACATCAACCACGCTTGATGTGTAAAGCGCCTCTTGTCAATAAGATAAGTTGACCTCAAGTTCTCAATGACCCCTTGTGATACTTCATTGTGTTCTAATAAGCCGTCGCAATGATATCGCTTTTTGGTTTAGCGACGGTCAATCTAAATGCAACTCAACTTAAACCAGTCTCACCTGCTTCCCACAGCAGCTGACTTCAATTGGTTGAAAATCTGTGTGAACACAAAATCCAAGCATGGAAACCCTTCTCCCACTCGCGCTACTCGGCTTGAGAAACTGGAGCGGGGCCAGTGGGGAGGAACTTGGCACGGATGATGTTCGAGCAGATGCAAGTACGGCGGTGGATGACACTTTTGACAATAAATAATGTACAACGGGTTGAAGATCCTCTCCATTCAGTGATGAGCTTTTCTTCACGTACACGGAGTACACCGCTAGATTTTCTGCTTCTAATGTCCACGGTAGCGTTTCTCGTCGTGTAGCGTCTTTGTGATGTCTCTTCACTGGCAGGGATTGCCTAACGGACATGGGTTCGTGGTTTGCACTAAGAAGTTTAAAGCTTGGGAGGCAAATGACCAGTGTGGGTGGAAATGAATTGTTTGTCGTTTTTAAGGATTGGGTGGAAAATGTAGAGGCAATATCGTTGGTTTCAAACTCGTGAGCAATGTGCTTCTCTGGCAGGAATAATACAGCACTCTTCATATGAACCTGAAACGTGAGTTAAGGCTTAGTATTTGCTGCTCTCCCTTATCCTCAATAAAATAATCTAACTATGTATTTTCTCCAAACTGTTCTTCATATATTTCATAAGGTTCTGGCAGGGGAATTTGTTTCACAATCAAGAGCTTCTTTACTTGGGGTTAATGTCACTTATCAGAGTGACCTTAACGTTTGATTTGCGGGTGACATTGTAAGGAAAAAGGATTAAAGCACATTCAACTAGTTCAGAGAATTTCATGTAATATCTGTGCAACTTCTTCACGCTAAGTGTCGCTCGAAGGTTCATTCATTAGACGTGATCAATTTTTAGGAGAAGCACGCATCCAGCACCTGACAGAAGCCCGAGGCTAGATCTCTTTTAAAGTTCGTAAAAATAACACAATCAAGCCGTCACCTTTGAAAACAAGAGGGAGTGTGAGAACTTTCTTGAATTCAAAGAGATAAATACCTAATCAGTCCATTAATGGAAGAAATGTTCATTCTGAGTAGAGAAAAATGGTACTGATTTGGATAAAAGGTTGTTTCCCTTGATATCTTAAAACTTACCTAGAATCTGTCTCGAGAAACATACACTCTCTTAGAAACCAAAATATACAGTTTCTCTCGAAAACAGGTATTAAGTGCACATCAAAAAATTGCAACCTGACATCCTTTGTATAGAGACATCTACTAACTTGGAGTTCCATGGCTGTCAAAAAGGAAAGCTTGTCAAATAACCAATTCTCAAACATCTTTCGTCCATCCACTACTTCTTGTGAGCTTTCATTTAGTGGACTCTGTTTTTGTGGACTTTCGTCTTGTTTGCTACCTGCTTTTTCTTCTTTCGCTGGAGAGGTAACCGAACCATACCCTGAAAGACAGTTGTTTTGGATATCAGAATGGTTTTCAATGACAACTATCATATTGTTTCTGCTCTCCTCCGGACAGCAAATTAAGCACAACTCAGTTTTTAAAATAAAAGCAGTCTCTTCAAGGTGGAGTTCTGCTGCTAAGATGTTGATTAAAATTGCTTCTTTATAAGATTATTTGTCAAAGGATGGAGGAACAGTCTACAGACGCACGCTTCTTAGTCCCTCAAAGTGCTAATGCGCTCTGAAAAGTCATAAGTTTTCGCCTCCAACAAATAAACCAAAGCAATATATCTTCACCCACACCAGCATTCCCGTTTACTTTTCGTTTTGTATTTGATGCTCTTCGCCAAACATATGAGCCCCGTAATTTCTAGAGGCCCTCCTTGCAATCTATTAAAATAGTATTTTTAACAAGTATTGTGAATTTATTAAAAGAACGGTGTCATTATTGAGAAGATCGCTTTCATTCAAGAAGACGGTGTGTTTGCACGCGATGCATTTGACGCCTTTTTCGATACTGTTGTTTCCATTTTTAGCAGCGATAATTTTGAGGATGTCTTAAATGATGGAAAAAAAAACCGACGTACTTGTAGAAGTGAGTTTTCGAACGAAAACAAAATGGCAAATTTTTCCCCGAAAATTTACAAATATTCTCTATGAGAATCAAACAACTTGAGAGAAGAAACTTTTCAACCCTTCCTTAAAATTTTTCAAGCAGTTCGGCATTCAGGGGCTATGCACTAGGCCGCGAACAAATAGCCTTTGTTACCATGGCAACAAGAACTTTTAAAAGGGCATTTTTGTGCATCCCCCTAAGTGTCTGACAGCACTCAAAATTTTAAGGCGGGGTTGCAAATTTTCATTTCTCAGTTCCTTGATTCTTTCAGAGACTAGTTCTTAATACATTCCTCATTAAGTAGCATGAAACACCTTTTATGTACCTACCTCTTGCAAATGATTTCTTTCTGGGGGTGGTGGCTGATGGGGTTTTGGGAAGAGACTGCTGCCGAGTAGTCTTAGTCCTCTCTCGTTCTGCTTTGTGACGGGGTGTTACTTTTGGTGCAGGAGACTTGTAACAAATCCACTTGTACAGCAAAGGATCAAGGGAAGCCGTGATACCCTTCAGATGAAACAGGACCAAACCGCTCAACTGATCACCACTCGGTGGAACTGTTGAGGAAAATAAAAGATATTAAGTTGCAGTAAAAAAAAAAACAAACAAACAAAACAAACAAACAAGAAAGTAGGTTTGTAAGTGACTGATTGACTAAGTTGATTACCAAGGTGGATAAATGTTATGTAGTTTAATTTCAATAGGAAAATTGGCGGAGCAACGAGGGAGTTGCGGGTTGTCGGTTGTGTGTGAAAGCATATGTGACAGATGAAGCAAGAATATTCAGCTACATTTCCCTAAGTTGCAGTAACAAAAAGAAGAGACTGCAGTTATGTCATCTCTACGAGAATGAAAACGGCTTGCGAGGGCAATCTGCTGATTTGAGTTGTTCCACTTTTTCACTGCTCCTTCCCGGACACGAAGGATTATGAATAAGCTAAGAAATAAACGTATCGATGAAATTAAAATTTACCTGGTTGTGCCACAGGGTCACCACTCCTAATGGCAGCCTGTGGTAACTGTACAGTAAAGGTTAGAACCGGTCCTGTACTTTCAACAAAGTTCTCCTGCAGATGCGCTGACCTAAACAGATTGCCTGTGTACATTTCTGAGGTGTCAGATGGACCCTTAACTAAAGGCGTTGTTTCAGTAGTGCCAGACTCACCTTCAAAAAAACAACATCTTATTTCATTTTCAGGTAACTTAAATGCTATACAGGTCCTAAAAGCTTAGAGTGTGTGAGGAACCTTATGAAATAACGAGTACAGGAAAGATATTCATAGGTTAATTGAGATCTAAACGTGGAAACTTGTGTGAGAATTTTTTGCCTGAAGCTCAGACTACAAGTGAGAAACACCTCTAGACATTATGAGAGTTCCACAGTATTTATCACCTTGCCAAGGTCAGAAATGACTAAGTGTAAAATTAGTGTCAAAATGGGTGAGGCTGAAGATTTTCATTTCAATGAATAGAGAAAGTCCCATTTCTTGCCCAATATAGTCCGCCATACCACAAAACTGAAATTATGGTGAGTAATACTTTGTTCCAGAGTTAACAACACTGCAAGACAATACTCACAAGACTTGAGAGAGGCAAAAACAGATCCCACTGAACCACTTGCACCAACAACAGACTGAGTCTCACAGAACTGCACTTGGATGTTTGAAACTTTAAATTGCAACTCAGGCTGTATGCCTCCTGAGTCTTGATCTGACATTTTGAAATTAAAAAAATCATTGATTAGTACTCAAGTTGAGTGTAGTGGAAGTGTTGTATGAAGGGTTTACACTTATACTAAACTGATCTACAGCAGAGAAGAACACCAGTACTATTGCAGGCTGAATTACTTACTATCTTGAGTGGCAACAATAAATTATTTTTTGTAACTACCTGACCAACAACATATCCAGGTATGCTTACCATTGGGATAGAACACACAACCAACAATTGCTCTGGGAATTGGAGCCATTTTTCCTTCTTTTGTCATGCTGCTTGCCCAAGAGTCAGCAATGTGAGACATGAGTACAAACTGAGGCTTCGTCAAAATAGTCTGAAAGTTTGGGACTTCTATGTGAGCCTCTTTCTTAAGAAGGTCTGCTCCACCCCTACGAAAAAAACACAACAATCACATTAGAGAAAGGCTTTTTATGCACATGACTTGTACTTCTATAGGCTGGCCTATCTACTTGTATTGTGAAATAATATGGCTCTGTCTGATCAAGACAGACCAACTAAATTTTTCTGTATCTTATACCAGTCTTTGAAACCATCTCCTATTCTACAGGTAAAGCACTGTCAACAATCATGCCACCTTTTAAATCACCCAGCTATATCCTCTGGAAAAGGTATAGTTGTGGCCCTAACATAAACACCATGCACTTTAAAAACTCAATCATTAATTTCTTGATTTTTAAGTATGACTTAGCTCTATTGCAGTTGATGTATTAGTCAATGTAGCAATGTGATTTGTATCATAACATATGTTCTTTGATAGTTTGGAAATAAAGACTATTGGACTATTTAGATTAGATTAGTTGTTCAAATTCAAAATAGCTGAGCATTAGAAATGGTGGAGTGATGTACTACTTTCTTCCATTTCTTAATTGCTTGACCCTGCAGGTTCAGGATGCTATTCACTAACAGACCGTTTGGAAGAGCAACTGTGTTGGAAAAAAACTATTTAACACGGAGTGTGGTAAACAATTGTTAAGTGATTCAACTTGAGAAACTCAAGAACCTTAAGTACAGATTTAGATTAAATATTTCCACTTTACTTTCGATTATGTCTGTAATATTTACTGTACATTATGAAAAACTATTGTGACAAAAATATAAAGATAAGAAAGGCCTACCACGATTCAGGCAAAATGCAAAATCTTAATGATCCAGCCACACTGAATGCTGGAATGATGTTAACCATAGGCATGTCTATTACATCAGAGTGAAGCTGCGTTACACTGACTTGAATGCCAAAAAGCTACAAAAGGAGGATTGAAAGGCAAAACATGATTGTGTTCTCAGATTGGAAACTGATAAACAAGCATTTGTATATTCAATTAATTATTTTAAGCGAGGGGCGGCCTTGTAATTACAGACAATGACGATTAAATATATTTAAGCAATTTTCCAACCATGGTGGCAACAAAAAAAAACCAAAATCTAAAAGAACAAGGAGGCCTTTGAGGTAAATTTCTTGGACAGAATCAGCAATAAGATCTTACAAATAAATTTATTGCTGTTTGCACTAAAACTACAAACCTGGGCAGACACATCAGAGTATGTACACATGAGCATGGCTTTGCCAGCAGGGTATTCTGCATTTGCTACAGTCAGTTTAGTAAGCTCTGTTGGGTACATTGGTTCTGTTACTTGGACATCAATTCTACTGATCTGAACAATACAGACCACCTCGGGAACAATATCAGTATCTTCAACCTGGAAAGAAAGATACTCTCATCTAATAGAACACCACATCAGTCAATCACTCCCTCTCTGGCTTAATAAACACCCAAAGCTGTGTAAAAAATATCTTGGAAATTGTAAGAAAGTGGGAAAAACATGAAATGGACTAACAAAGAGGAATAACAGTACCAAGTTGCTCCTCTTGCATCACCCAATTTTATTGAAGGAATTTTTTTTATATAGTTAAGGGAGGAAATGTGAAGCAAGTGCTGAGCATTATCAAAAATAAATCTCTGAAGACTCCTTTGAAGAAAAAAGATTCTTTTAAGACTCCTCAGGCCCTATGTCAACACCTAATATCTATCACTATCAATGTCATGACGTTCAAAACAATGAACAATGAAATCCAAAAGATTAACTGGCATGGGTAAACAAATCCCACAACTCAAAATTCAATTCTAAGAGTTCCCCAGTTTTTAGATCTACATGCACAGTAAACTTTTGAGACAGCTTTAATTAGGTAACATATTTCATAATTACATCAGGAATGCTCTGTAATGACAACTGTGAGGAGACAGTGTGTAGCTCTGTGCTGCTGTTTGTGCGGTGCAGTAGAGGACCTTGGGACATCTTTCCATGGTCAGCAGCTGGTAGAGTAGCAGTAAACGACACCAGGGTGATGCTGGAATTACGAGCTGGAATGTTGCCTGCCAGAAGCTGTTTCTCAATGAATTCATCATAGTATGGCTCACATTTTTCTACAATGTCAACAAAATAAAACTGCATTAGTTATAAAAAATAGACTGAACATATTACATTGCAGTACGTACTGGTAGCATTCAAGCATATAATCAAGTACCAAGCTCAAATCAAACTCCTTTTTCATGGCTGAAACCATTCACAGAAGATTCTGAACTCAAGAAAGAAATCTTTCCTGAGGAGTTGACCTCATACCATGCCACATCAAAGCACAAAGCTGTGGGATCTGACTCATTGTCAAACACTTAGAATTTTTTCTTTGTTGTGTGCTCATGATATATTGCTCAACATCTTACTCAGCAAGATTCTTCTTCTGGTTATTCAAGTTTCTATCAAAAAAATCCTGTGTTTACCCTAGGTAATCAGCCAGGCCATTTCCTCATCAAGGGTCAACTTCACAGAGGTTTGAAAATAGTTATGATCATGAAAGTTAAAATGGGGAGGTCTATTTTTTTTTCAAATGACTGTTGTCAATAGTAAAAATTACCATGGAATATTTGGTCATATGCAGACATCAGGACTTGAGTAAATGCAAGGTAAGATGTACATGTGATGTATACATATGACCTCTTTAAACTACTCTGTACAAAGAGATATGTACACTGTGTAGGTCATACCTTTTCTTGGAACAATATCATCAAATGCCAGCTTCAAAACAAGCTCCAATCTATGCATCATACTTGTTGACAGCTGTAAATGTGTTGGGCCCACAATCAACCGTTTGAAAGACATCTCCCTCACAAGTCGTATTTCACCAAAAATTTCTAACCCTTCTAACTGATTTTCCCCAGCATCCTGATCACTCTCTGGTTCAATTTCCATTGTGTACAAATAGTCAGCAAAAAAAGCCCCATATCTCCTGAGGGCAAGTTTCTCATTGTGTATCTTTAAGAATTCCTCTGCATTGAATGTCAGATCAGGAATTGCTAGAGAAGATCTTTCTCCATTGTCAAACAAGGAACCTGTCAGAAATCCTGATGAATCAGAGGAATCTTCCCTATGACTTGCAATGGTGATAAAAACATCTTCCTAGAAAAAGATTACAAAGAAGAAGCTTATTTCTAATTACACTCCGAGCTATTGAAAATCTCTCCTAACTGGCAACAGTTAGAGATGATGTTGCTCCATCTCTTCACCAAATTTGAGCTTCATTCCTTCAACATTTTCCAAGAAAATCAATGCTGAAATCATCAATACAGCATTTTCAATATGATTGTTGCCAAACTTAGTGACCACAGGAATTCGGAGCATGCAGGCCATTTCAAATTAACCACATGGTGCTGCAACTTCCATGGAAGTCCACTGCAGTTCAAAACAAAGTCAATTGCTGATTGGTAAATTTGAAATGGTCTGCATGCTTCAAATTCCTTTAATGGCTGCCAGTCAAATTTTCAGAGCTTTATTCATAACCCTCAGATGTTGTCTGTCTTATGTCAACAATTACTAACCACAAACACATAGTGTGGTCTGCCTGTGATGATACAAATGTACACTATGCTACAAGATAAAGAGATTCTTCACCAATTGTCACTGCACCATAAAATGGAAGAGTAGAGCATATGTTGCAATGGAATTCATTTTAACTGTGTTCTTCTTTGTTCACGGATAATGATGCTTCATCAGAAACAAAGGAAAATACATGTACACATCAATTGGTTCAAAATCATTTTGACCTCGATTAATTAATTTAACAAAACAATTTTAGCTTTACAGTCATCATGTTCATTAATTTCTTCTAGAATACTGATTGAAATATATTAAATTTTGTCTTATCATTACAATGATAGTAATTACATTTCTGTGTGGTTCTTTAAAACCTTAGTTAATAACTGTCTTGAAGATTGTACCTTATCATCTGCTTCAATTCCTTCTTTTGTTGAAGACACATCCAAACTTCGACAAACACAGTTACCAATATTCCACCCAATGATGGATGACACACCAACCTGAGCGTCAAAAAATTCATCTCCTCTCAATACCATTTCAGCTGCTCCTCCTGACAATTCAAAACTCAACATAGGCTTGAATTCAAATCTCTGTCCACCAAAAAAATTCCCATCACTGACCTTTCCTGTCAACTTAATAGTAATTGTCACATGAGAAACATAGAATCCTGCTAGCAGTAGAGGTGTTGGTGGAGGTGTTGCTAGCAGTGCTGACTGATCATCTGTGAGATTAGGAACAAAAGACCACACCCAGTTGACCCAGTCTTCATCATTTGGGTTTTGCTGATTGCCTGTCTGAGTAGAGACTTCTTGTGGTTCTGATGTAAAACTCAGATTTGGATTGGAAATGGCTTGTTGCTCAACAATTTTTTTTGCTGGGTGCGGTTTGTACTCAGAACCAGGTAAATCTAGAGTTCCAACATAAAGACTGAGACATAGAGTAGCCAATCTAATAACCATTGGAAGCTGTTGATCTGTAAGCGAAATGTCTGCAGATTCACAATACACATTAAACTTTGTTTCAATGGGTCTGAGAAGGCTGTCAAACTTCAACATCATTCGACAGCGTAGACCACACTTGTACAATAGTGGATCTTGGTAGAGTTCTATTTTCCCACTGGAATTTCGCTTGTCAAGACAGATGGTCAGATCAGAAATATTGCATACTTTCTGAAGCAAAAAGTCAGGAGCAACAACATCAACAAAAGCCTTCTCCCAGTTGCTGTTCACACTGAATGTTTCGGCTGATTTGATGTTTAAGGACAAGACAATGTCATCTTCCAAGTATTTCAATATAACATTGTTAACACATATTGATACATTGTTGATCACTCGGTTGATAAGGCTTTGAACATACCCAGAAGGAGGGACCTCCTCTTTGCCCTCCATTACCTTCTCAAGCTCTTCTTTTTCATTTTCACTATTGGCTGAAGCTGCCTCAGAGGCCTTGCTTGATTGATCACTTGGGCTATGATCTGGATATTTCAACTGGACAACACACTCTAATGTGCTGATGGTGATCTCAACTGGCTCTGATCCCAGCTTTGTCCATGGGATATGGATCTGTAGCTTGTGTATCTTCCCACTGAGAAATGTTATTGGCAGGTGTAATTCCTGGAAGAACATAATTATGTAAATAAAGGTGTCATTGCTTATTTTACAATGTAAGTCAGGCTAATCATGATGATCGTGATGTATTCAATTGCCATACAACTAGTTCTTGTCAGGTGACAAGGTTGAAAGTTTACATGTTTACATGTTGTCTTACGTGCATTTCGACAACAAAGACTAGTAGTATAGCTTTTGAAAATGTCGTGATCAATACAACTGATTTGCCTCACTTCATGAGACAAGCAATTAACCATTCATTATCTATTAAACCACTAAGAACGACCACATTTTCTAAAACATTAGTATGCTTACAATAAATATCTTGATCATTCTAGGCTTATTAGAAAGAGAGGTGTTCATTAAAACTAGAACTGAGGTAACAATCTTTCTCACCTTTTCCAAAACATCCAGCCGTAGTTCTAAATTGTACAACACTACATCTCCGCCCCATAGCGACAAACTGAGGTCTGAAGGCTTCAAATTCTTTATGTACTTGTCGACGTAGCTCATCAAAACTGGGGTGATGTAACTCTCTAACATGGCTACTATAAAACCCCACTAGGTCCTTCCAAGATGTTTACTTCAACAGTGTAATTTCACACGTTCACTTCGTTTACACAAACAAAGCACATCTTTGGTAAACAAAACTAATTTTGAGTTTGAAGCCAATGGAAGTACAGGTAATTTCGAAACAGTGCTATTTGTCTCCTTTGCCGCAAGGAAACAGTGCTTCAGTCGGGCAGTTCATGTTTTATACAACCTTGAACACTGGCGATATTTACACCTAGTCATTCAATTACGGTTAGTTTACCCTGAGTCCAGAGACTGAATTATCATAGGACGACCATATTCAATGTTATTATTCCTACCGAACTTTAGTTTCTCCCAGGCGTTCATGGGATAAAACATGGAAGAGGATTGGTACACTGACATGTAACCAATCAAATTCGCTCTAATATCGAGCGCCACGCTGGCAACTTGTTTACCACGAACAAGTGTCCAAATATTTCCTTATCTCTCTTAATTTTTGTCGTTTGAAAAGAGTTGGTACAAGCAGCAGCAAATCATATGAAATTTTTCGAGCATTTTGCAAATCAGTGATAAACTTTTAAAAAAAGAATTTGGATAACTTAGTCTTCTTTGTCACTCAGCTAGATACACCTCACTCCCACCCCCTCGAAATAAATTTTTTTCTCCCATAGTTCAACTGGGGAAAAATTGGCGGGAATAGTAAATCCCTCGGCGTCCAGTTCAGTTTAATTGTCGTTGTTGAGTTTCTTGATAGCATTTGATTCAAGAATGTACTATTTTTGATCACCAAATACGATAGATTAATAGATCTACGGATTGTACTGATACTTTTCACAGAAGGAATTATTATTTGTAATTACGATGGCGTTGGAAGAATGCAGAACTGAGGCAAGCATTGGAATAGAATTTTCGGAAAGCGACCATGATTCGACTATAGGCGAAAACACGAATTCCACTTCAGTAAAGACTGCTGCTCAGGGTGATAGTTGTTCACCGTCTGAGAAGCGGAAACGGAAACGCATTTCACCGCACTCGACACCAAAAGTAGCAGAAGGTAGGTTAAACACTAGATAGTTAAAATGTTGTTGAACAATGGCAAACGTGCAGAGGAGCTGTTCACCATCATAATTATATGTCAACATGGCTCAAATTTCACATTAATGCGGAAAAGAGCCAGTTTGGTACGCTCAAAATTACGCTCTCACAGCTTTGTATGGAGCAACTTAACCGAAGCCAAACGAGCTGTTATGACACTGAACAGAAATATTCTCCATTTGGCTGCAACATGCATGCATCTATCATAAACAAATATCATATGAAGTTGACGATATGGAGATCAGTATATCACCTTCCTTTCATAGTAATTTGTTATGGTATCCGATTAGCTATCCACCACAACAAACTTGCCACCGGTGGTGAATTGACTCGTTGACAATCTTAGAGGCACAACCAAAACATAAACCTTTGTTAAATATGCTTTTATATACTGACAAGAACACTGTTTGTCTCTTTGTGAAGAACTTGTCTCAGGCTGTTGCCTAAGTACTATACATATAAATAGACCTTCTCTTTTAAAGCAATTGCATCAATGTTGTTGAGTATTTGACAATTAAGTCTCATGGTGCCGTGGATCTGGCTCCAGTTGTTCCAGGGTTGGATAGCGCTATCCACTGGATAAAACTCTTTCCAATGGAAAATGCTATATGTTTTGCTATCACTTATCTGCCAGATAGTGATTTATCCACTGGATAACATTATCTGCCTTTTATACAACTGGACCCAGTACATAAGAACTTCACATATGATGTCAAAATGTGGTCAGAACAAAAAATGGGTACACAAGGTTTAACCAAGTGTGACACTGATGCTCTTACCACATTCTTACTTCTTCTGTGATCTATTATTGAACAGACACATGTACAAATACATGTAGAATCTATTTTTTTTATATGATAACAAAGTATCAGAGCAAAGTTTTCTTAATGGCAAGGTCATCCATAAATTTGACATCCAATAGATCATAGGTAAGAACTAATGAAATTGTGTGTGTAATTCAGGTTCTTATGTGTATATGCAATGTCACATATACAGTGTAGGCTTGAAGATATGAATTTTTTTTTTTTTTTTTTTTTTTTTTTTTTTTTTTTTTTTTTTTTTTTTTTTTAGAGAGAGAGAGATAAAAAAAAATCTGGTTCTCACCTGTTGGCATCTCACCTGTGTTAAGTCAAAGAATTAAATTCGTGCATTTAAGCACCAACGAATAATTATTTTGTTTACTGTGTGGACAAAAAAAAAATTAATCAAACTTGTAGTCATTTTTATACCACAAATAGTGAGCCAAAGGCTAACTTAACATGAAAATCATGCAGTTATACATTGAACAGCCTAAAACAGTTCATTCTGACACTGAGCTTTTGCAAACTTTATGAATTGATTGCCTACCACTTTCCATTGACTGTTTGCACAACAAACTAGGCAATAACAGGAGTGTTAACATACAAGCTTGCCTCTCTGCTCCTAGACAGACTATAAACAAAGAAAAAGGCACAAAGTGTCATCAGATGAGTTGGGAAAAAACTCAACTGATTTAAGATTACATGTATTTCCTAGTGTTTCATGTATTTGTGCAGTATCCTCCAAAGGTGCTTAGTGTTCATATTATCACTAGTGTCTCTTCTTGTAACACCATTTTCTACTTGAACGTAATAAAAGCACATACAGACTGTATGCTCCAGTCAGAGGTGATTGTGATAAATTCATTATTGAGTTAGAGGCAGCTCTCAGAGAGAGAATGAGTCACAAAGACTTGTGACCAATATTGTAAACATTGCTATATACAAATATCATCATCCAGTTATTGGATTGCAAAACGTTTCTTCTAATCTTACAGCACAAAATTTATTTCTAGGGTTTGGAGATAGCAAAGCTGGAGAGCTTTTGAAAAAGATCCCAGAGCTTGAAGATGTATTCACCTTACTTTCAAAAGTGGGAGAAGGTAAATTTATAGAGCTTAGTTTTATCTTGTGTTTCTACATTTATAATGAAAAAATAATTTCTCTTTCTTTCCCAATTTCTATCATATTCTTGCCAAGAAAAACTTGAAACAAAAACCTTGGTCAAGTGACAAGTTAAGTTTTTATCAACTATGATTTGCTGTTTAACTATCCACCATTACCAGATGATGTTTTGTCAACTTGCATGAAGAAAGATGGATGGAGAGAGGAAGTGACATTCTTCAACATCACTTAATCATGCATGTAGATGTATGAACCCTACCCTATTTGTACACAGCACAAGATTTTCAAGCTTTTAAAAGTTCATTGTAATTTAACCCTTTTGGATACAAAATTGAGAAAGGTTGAAGACGAGTGTATCATTGTTGTTCTTCAAGAAATAGAGAAAGTTTAAAATTTATGTCATTTTTAACTCGTGAATTGCGCGCATGCGCAAGAGCGAGTTATAGATACGATGTGGGAAATGGCATTCACTCGCTCGCTCGCTCGATTGGTCGATTCCTGTAAACTTTTTTTAGATTTTAGGCTTTTGAGTGCATTTGATAGTTTTTGATGAGCAATAAACAGACGAAATGGCGACCTTTGTTGCTAAGAATAGTGGTGGGGTGAAAAAAAAAGCCAATAATAAACTTAAAAGAGTTTTTTTTTGGTTTTAGTTTCAACAAGCGGCACCAGCGACTGGCAGGCATGCAAGGATTCACACTGAAATAACAGAACAACCTTCGTTTTGTCATAAAATTGTAATTTACAATCCTTGGACTTGAAAATAATCTGAAGATTCATTGAAAATATCACTTACTGCGAAGCGCTCGGAGTTTACAGATGTTCAAAAGCTTTTTCTGTCATAGCATGAGATTGAGGACAAAATTGATCGTTACGTTTCGTCGCGTGTGTTTTTCCTGTGTGAAGCAACAGAAGATGCCGGCGACTGACGTAATAACAAGTTAACACGATAGCTACCGATTTTCAGTGAATTTTTAAAGAACAATCTTCTTTTAAGTTTCAAGACAATTTGAAGATTCAACATACATACAACGTACTAAAATGCGAAAGTTACACACCACAAAATTGATAAATAGACCTGAAATGAAATTTGATCTTGTTATTGATTATACATTGCCTAGCACATGACTTAAATCTACCCAGGTGGAGATCCAAAATGACGGTGGCAGGCTTGGCTTAGTTATATCACTCAAAACTCGTTCCCGTTTGTCTCATTTGATAAAGAGGGAATCGTTAATGTTTTCATTAAGACAGTATTGCCTTGATTTTCTAATATTTACAATGAAAGACAGTAAATTTCACTTTTCACCCACATTTACTTCCAACCTTTTCTTTTGAACCAGAAACAAAAATGATAGACGTTTAAAACACATGACATCATCCACCTTGTCAAATGTAATAGCATGATCATTTCAATTGTAATGCCTTCTTATCCCAACGTTACTTTGTTTCTTTGCTACATTAGCGAACACTGAACTACTGCTCGTACTCTAGATATGACAATCAACCACAAAATTCCCTAAACCAGATAACATTAAACATAATCTAAAAAATCATGTGTCAATTCATGAGTTTGCTCACAGAGCACTTTGATCTTATATCTAAGCAGAAATTTTTGTATTATCCAGGTACCTTTAGTAATGTCTACTTGGCAAAAATGAATAGAATACCAGATGAATTATGTGCACTGAAACATATCATACCTACAAGTGGCCCAGGAAGAATTGAAAATGAATTGAAATGCCTTCAGGATATTGGGTAGGTTGAAAAGGTTACTTTACAGCAACACAAGAAGCAAAAACTTACACTTGTCACTTAAATCACACTAATTCATGAATTACAATGCTTTACACAATATTATTATTTGTTCCATCAATTCCAAGAAGTAGCGGTGGGACTTATCTCCTAACAGTATCAATGCACTCTAATAAGAGCAAAGAAAAGTAAAGTTCAAGGGGTATTTAATATAAAGATTCATTATTAATACATTTAATATAAAGCCAAATTCTTGGAGCCTACTCTACATGAGTTGTGTATGAAAATCTTGGAGGTGAAAGAGTGTAGATAAGGATTAGCTAGCACTTCTAGCAAAACTCAAACAGAAGAAGGACTTAGACAACTGAAACTACATGTACATGTAGATGCATGATACCAATGCCTGCACATAAAATTAAATGGATAAGATTAGGTCTCAGAATCAGGTGATAATTATAGAGCAACTAGGGAACAGAAAGCACAACAGGATGGATGAAAATACTCTGTATTAGTGCAGGCAATTATCCTAAACTAGAAAGCTACAGCTTGTTGTATTACTTTCTCTCTTTTCTTTTTTCCAGAGGTACTGACAATGTGATTGGAGTTCTATCAACTTTGCGAAGGGATGACAACATAGTTTTTGTTTTACCTTACTTTCCACATCAGAGTTTTCAGGTAAGTGCATAGTTAGTGGAATGAATAATTTCCACACAGCACTTTGATCATGAACTCAGTAACACACACATTTTGGTCTGACTTTGTATGTATGTAACACTGTATTCTACTAACTTTACCCTTAAGTATAGTTTGACCTTTTTCTTCTCTTTTTCAAAATAATGTATGTTTCTATACCAAGCTACCATACTAGTAAAATGAAGTTGTTATAAATTGTTTTTACCCATTTCTTTTTTGCAGGAGTATTTTCTTGAAATGAGTATGTGCGAAATCAAGGATTACATGAGAAACTTATTCATTGCCTTGCAAAGAGTTCATTCTTTTGAAGTCATTCACAGAGATGTGAAACCAAGCAACTTTCTTTACTGTAGAGATACAGGAAGGTGAGAGGAGGCGTGAATGATTCAGATTCTTTTGGAGCAACTGTAGTTTTTAAGTTCCCTCTTCAGAAAAGTCGACAAATTCCACAGTTACCAGAGTCAAAATTTAAGTGGTGTACAGAATGAGGCTCCAAGTGACTGTTGATGCACCATCTACGTCTTCAGCACCATAGGGGATTACAAGATAATGTCTACAAAACAAGAATGTAGTTCTCTTTTCCATGAATTCTTCAGTTCATTGACATAGCTACAGGGCTCCATGTTTTTTTTTCTCCATTTGTCAACCTAAATCATAAGATGGTCACAGTACATCATATAACCCTGTGCAAGGTAATATCAGTTTTAAAAAGTGACAATCACCTGGGGCTGGTCAAGTGTTTTAGGACAAAGATATAATAAACCTTTGATTGAACCCACTTCTATCTGTGAGTGTCAAATTTCTTGAACTAAAGTTCTGCAACTCTGGCATTGAATTACAGATACAGACTTGTAGATTTTGGCCTTGCTATGAAGGTACCTGGGAGTTCTAATTCTCTTCTAGGTAAAGTATGTGTTTCATTTATGCATGTATTTGGAAGTCACCACCATATCCAGTTTCAGAAACATGCACTTGAATCGAGCACTGTCTCCATTTAAACAGTGGCATATCTGAAAAAATAAATTGAGCCCCAACCTAGTCTCATTTTCAAGAATTAGAAAGAATAGTAGTTATATTGGGAAAGATGTAATAATTAAGTTTGAATTTCATATTTTTAGTGTTCAAACAAATAAAGACTATACATTCCATGGACTTTAGACCATAATGAGCCACAAGCTGACAATGATGCGGAGTGGACTGTATTGCACCTTTATTAAAATAGGCATCAAAATTGCAAGAACTTGCTAATGGACATAAAAGAAATTAAATTGTTGTATCACTTATACTTCAGACTCTCCAAAAGAACAATTGAAGAAACCGAAACGAGGCCACCATCAATCTCCCAAGAACACAACTCAGCCCAGACGTCGTAGCTCACGTTTGTCCCCTCAAACTGACAACAAGGACCAGCCAGCAAGTAAAGTTGCCGAGGAAGGTGTACTAAAGCCACGTTGTGTAAACTCAGCCAATTGGCAGTTTACCCATCAGACGAGAGACTTTAAAGTTCCAGCCAAAAATGCAACGTCAAATTTAAGAAGAACTTCCAATGAGAATTCAAAATCTAAGGAGGTTTCATTCAAGGCAGTACAAGTGTTGTGTCCCCTGCGACATGGCCCCAAAGAGGTTTGCACTGTTTGTATGGCAAGGTAAATTACCAAACTTTTTTAGACTTGTTCTCTTTTTGGCGTCATCATTAAAATTATTCACCAGAACAGACATGAAGTTATTAATAATTTCACCCTCTTAATACCCAGGAACGATCAATATGTACATGTAGCTACTCCTAAAAATATGAATTAATCATTCACCGTCTTTCTGATTCTGTTTACTCACACGACGCTTTGACATTGCTAATCTTCGCGTTATGCAGGACGTCTGTTATATATTAACCTACATTGTGGTAATGGCTCACATTGTAGCTCAGCAAAGCGTCTCTGTAGCTCAGTGGTAGAGCTACAGGTTTTGACAATACGAGAAGACATCTTTCTGTGCTATCAATATATTTTTAAACAGAAACACAAACTACAGGTTACGAACAAAATCAGTTTTGGAAGGAAGGTTTGGCCTTGTCTAATACCAAGGTCAGTTTTGAAAGGCATGACGTACATATATAAGAAGATATGTTATACTAATTCACAGTCCTTAATTCAATGATGCACATACATTGTAACGGTGGCATTTTTAATTTAAAAGTAGTCTGAACTCTCATATTTCAGTGACAAGACCTAAATTTAAATTTGTTGCAGGGGTCATCAAAACACTCCACGCGCCGGTACACCAGGATTTCGCTCCCCTGAAGTATTACTCAAATACCCTCACCAGTCCACGGCCGTGGACATTTGGTCAGCAGGGGTCATATTTCTTTCCATACTTAGCGGTAGATACCCTTTTTTTAGAGCGTACGACGACATGACCAGCTTGGCACAAATTATGACTTTGTGTGGAACCGATGCTGCCGCAAGAGCAGCCTTCAAATTGGGTAAGAAAATCTTGTTAACGAGGTTGTTGTTACTGTGTTGGTTAAAGCTGTTACTTTAACTGGCTGGAAAACGTTAATCCTGTTTCAGTGTACATGTAATGAAGTTCTGATTTTAGAGCAGATGGCAAAACCTGATCTTTTGCCGTCTCTTTGTGTACGTGTACTCTTTGATTGCTCCAAAGAGAAGATGTACCTTCCCCAATAATAAAAGATCTTTCCTACTTTTGGTTAAATTTACTTTGGGATTAGACAAAAAGCATGATCAAAGGCAATTCTCGTCGCTGGCATCATTCTTCTTTTACTCTCACTTGTGTGTGATTTTTGAGTTAGAGTCACAGCTTACAGTAACTTCAATTTTCTTTGCCGTGCTTGTTACTTTCGCTCTTAAAGTCTTATCAACATTCCTTGCAGGCAAGGATCTTCATTGTAGCGCCGAAAGTCCATGTGGAAACCTTAAAATACTTTGCACAAGACTGCGCAGTCGCGCTAGCAAAGAGCCAACCGTGAAATGCTGTGTGAAACAGTGTAATCGAGCAGACACAGACCAGTCAGCTCCTGCAAAGCGCCGTAAAAGAAGATCGACTTCTCCTTCAAGCTCTCAAACAGAAACACCCGTGGCTTCAAATCTGCATCGACGCTGTAAGATATGTCAAAAACAAAATCCACATTGTTGTATATCGATTGAAACTGAAAAAGAACTCACCGTTAAAACTAGTGAGCAATCGGACGTTTTTCGGCCCATGCATGTCGACGGCAGTGAATGTGACTGTACCTGTTTTAAATGTTGTTGGACGATTGAAGACACTGCATATGAGCTTTTGGAGAGATGCCTTGATCTTAACCCGCATACTCGTATCACTGCGGCGGAAGCTTTGGAGCATCCCTTTTTAAGGGATTGATCATATTTTTTAGCGAATCCGAAGAATAGCTATCCGTGCGACAATTTGCTAAAGTAGTTATGCCTGAGTACGTTTCTTTTCACCTACTTACACTCACACATCTGCTGCCAAATGTAAACTGATCACTTAAAGGTTTTATGAACTTGTATCATGGGCTGCACGCCAACACTCATGCGCTGTCCGCAACAGAAAATGTCACCGGAAGTTATATTTGTAGAAACTCTGACATAAGCGAGACTAAAAACCCTGTTTCAAGTGGCTGTGTGCTATTGCAACAGCAAAGCGCTTTTATTTTGCTATTATCCCATGTACAGTCGCACAAGAACAGGTCATGAAATAAGAGAAAAGTTTCGAATCGAAATTTAAATATGAATTTTTAAACTAAAGTGAAAGATTATATTCATACACATGTACAGTATTCATTTTAACAATAACCCACTACGTGTACGTAAACTTCACAAGGATTCATTCGTAAATTATATCTGCTTTCCGAGATTCTTACGCAAGAGAGAGTGTGATGTTAACACAAGAACTTTATTGGTTATAATAAGCGAGAAATTATGGATTGTGAAAGGGAAGGTATGGTTGAACAAGGACAATTTTAGTGCGAATGGTTTACTCTATTGTAAAGACAATGTATATAAATTGGAAATAAACCACTCTGTAGCACTTGGGTGTCAGCGGTGTAGTTGCCTCCTCTGAATTATACTGAACTTATTGTACAAGCAAAACTCACAAGCGAGGGTTGTAGGTACTGTTATCAAATATTAAGTTGGACACTGCTGTTTCGAGAAAGGTTCTCTGAAGAAAGAGCGCGAAAGTGCACGCACTATTTTTACATCAACCCTGATGTGTTAGTCACAGAACAATGGATACACTGAAACCAATCAATTTGAACGAAGGGTCTTTAAATTTTACTCATTACTTGTGTAAGAGTAAGGAGGCTAGAGTAAGGAACGTGTTTTGCCTCTGATCACGTTCTTAAATGGCTAAAATCGGAACCGCTTAAGCTTAGCCTCGTCTGTCTGAAGCTTTTCCAAGTAGTTCTCAATAGCCGTTAGAGCAAATGCCGTCTTCTTTGCAACAAGTTTGTTCCTTTCCAAAGCCTCTTGTATCTTCTCTTGTGCCTCTCTCTCGTCTTCCATTTCCCGATCCGTCTCCTCGCTGAGTTCCTCCTCCGCGGAGGCTAATTCATCTCTTAGGGAATCCACCTCTTGTGAGATTGAGCTTCCTGTCTCCTCTTCGTTGCGAAATCTCCTCTCTGCCCGATCAATCGCCAAGACTTTAGCGCCATCGAGCTTCGTTAAGATTCGGTTGGTTGCCAGGAGCTGTTGGTAGAGGGTGACATCACTGTATTTTGGAAACTGAGGAATCTTTGAGCGAAGTATTCTGGAGGCGTTAATCGTATGAATTACTCCGAGCTTTTTCTCGATGTTGTTCAGAGCTGTTGCAGCTTCTATAATCACAGAAAATACATGAAGAGGTTAATTAGAAACTAGTGTGGAGACAATAGGTTTTACTGGGAAATCCTGACACCGCACACGACAATGAGATCTTTCAGATAATTCTTAGTTGTCATTTAGTTTTCACTCATCCTCGAGGATGGGTAAGTGGGATCTGCTGGCCCCGTTTCAGTGTGGCACTTACTTGTCTGGCGCCTCTTCTGTGGCGGAGACGGAGTTTAGATATTTTATAAAGAGGTTAAGAGGTAAGACTATCATTCAAGGCACGTTTCCTCAAATGAAGATGAAAGTGTTACACCTCCACAAGTGTCTCGACATATCATCAAGGCAAGCATTGATTCTGGACCGACACCAGAATGGTTTACGGGAGAGGTGGCAGGGGCAATTTACATCAGAGCCTCCAAACGAATCCTAAACAGGGATTAGCAACATAATGAATAAAGCCATTCAGCTGATATGTCACTTGACCTGATCCATCACCCGTGGCACCCACTCAATTTGTTAACGGTGTACAGAGAAAAAATCATAGAGATACTCTAAATTTGTGCAAACCCTGAAAAGTTAACTAACTGTTCCATTAACAGCCTGATGTCCGTACATTGATGCTTTGTGTTACCCTTTAGCACGTAAATTAAACATGAAAAGGTCAAGATCAATCAGTCACATCATCAGCAGTTTGCGTTGGCTGGCAATGTTGAGACGAGTGGGGAAAGTCCCAATATATTATTGGTCACTGAATGAACATTTTCGTGCCCGGAGCTCTTCTCCTGATGAGAGATTTTAGGGCTCTGGAAACTAGAATAGCACGTGACGCGAAAATTTCGCGACATAACAATTAAGTGTCACTTACTTCGTGCCATTGCCAATCTGTTGGTTGCGTTGGTCTTCGCTTGTCTTGCCATTGCAAGCGCCTGTTTAACTGTAATGCCAACTTTCCTGTGGACATTACTTGTCAACTTTCTCACCATCTTTAGATCTTCCTGAAGATCTTCCATTTTGGCTCTGAACTCTTTTCTGACGTCGTTTAGTTCCATGGTTGCCTGTTTTTCCGCCTTCAGGACGTTGGTTCTGATATTTCTTACTTGAAAAAGGAGTATGGGATCGAATGGCAGCTTCTCACTTCCGCTGTTTCCTTCTCCTTTTATAATAGTTCCTTTAGGCTTATCACGAGCTGATTCTGACACAACCTTGGCGACATTCGCTCCTTTGAGATCTTTTGGAAGTCTCATTCCACCATAAGAGAACTGAAGATCACCGCTTCCTTGATCTCTAGATGCTCCTGTATTCTTACCTGCGAATTCTGGCTCGTTTTTAGAACCAGTTTCTAATTCATGTGTGACTCCTTCAGGCTCACTTGAACTGTCTGCAGTTTCAAATGTAGACCAACCACTGGATTCTGTTTCTGAACGAATTGCGCTTCCAGATGCAGCATCCCTCACCTCCTCGTCAGATTGACCGTCACCAATTTTCTCTTCCTTTCTTCCTATCTGGTTGAATATGTTGCGAAGAGTTACTCTTGTAATACTGTGCTCAGGTCTGCGTTCATATCCGTTTTCATCTTGGTTAACTATCCCTTTTCTTGAATCTCCTTCCGTCGCTTTGGTTGTGGCTCGCGCTTTCAGTAGCATAATTTGTCGCACACGAGGCGAAGAGATCTCGTGGCTTTCGTCGTGCTTGTTCTTATTGCCTGATTTAGTGTAAGCCAATTCCACATCCCCTCCCGCATTTTCATCTTTAGGTCCACTCTTATCGGTCTCCAAAAGGTCAATAGAAGGTCCTGTGTAACTAACCTCTTCGTTGGCAAAAGGCCGTGGTCCTGTTCCCGAAGTAAAGGCAAGTGACTGGGACTGCAAGTCGCTTTCGAAATCCTTTCCGAACAGCTTTTTCAGTCCTTCCGATCTGGTGACACCTAAATTAAAGAACATTGTGGTCATCATAGAGATATTAGGCCAGTTATAATCTTAACGCAAAATTAAAATGTAAACTGAAAAAAGAATTGGTTCTAATTTGTTATCATAGGTGTTGCAAGCACAAAAATCGATACAAAACGGATCGAGAGACTAGTTTCCCTGCTCAAACCTTTTCCCGTTAGGGCAAAAGAGAGAATTCTCTTTTTCCTTTCTTCTCTTTTTTGCGTGAATTTTTTCTTCACTGAGTCTTAAGAAGAATTTATGCGACATTAAGGGCTGATTTAACTCACGGTGCGAGCATAACTACAAAGGTACACTGCGCCAATCTGCAGCCTATTTCTTAAATCATGAGCGGCTTTTTGGATAGATGTGCTGGCTTTGGTTTGGTGCGTTGTGTGATTGGTGTAAGAAAAACTCGCGCGAAGTTTTGTACCAAACAGATGTAACATTAAACAAACCTCACCGTTACCGCATTTATCCACGCCTTATATGTCGTTTTGCTTTTCGCTTTGAGTTTCTATTGACTCTTGTGATTTTACTTTCATGAACTTGGAATTGCTCAATTTCTGCGATAATCAATTGGTCCAAGATTGCAATTATGAATAATTAACTGCTTTTTGCTTTTTCGTATGTTATTACTACACTCTGGTTTGCTTTATGGAGTATCAGTCAAAGACCATAATTACCAGAGTACATTCTCTAATTTTTATAAGCATTAGTCTTTAAGGCGGACTGTCAATAGTTTCTAAAAACTGAGAAATTAGCCGGCCAATTTTTTCACTCAAGTTTGTCCATCGCTCTCCTCGGTGACCTTCTTCATTCTTAATCATCCTCGTTTCTTGCTTGGAGTATTGTTTCCATCCCGGAATGCTTTGCCACACTAACATGCTATTTTATGAAAATTCAAGTTCCTATCAGTTTGAGGTTAATTTTATTTTGATTCAAAGTGCTGTATCTTTTATAACAAGATCTTCAATACCAGTGTCACGGGAGGTCATCAAGTTTCCTCGGGAGAACATGGTACCTGCTGTTAACCTGTGAAGCAAGCGTGGCCTCTAAGTCGTGTTCAAATGAAAAAAATCAATGACATGGTTAACAGTAATTTCCTTTTTTTTCCTTTTTTTGACGCTCATTAGACTTCAAAGTGACTCAGTGTTAGAGCGACAGGTGAAGTATACTTCAGTATAAACTAAGCGGTGCATCGGAAAGCTGTGTAGTCGTTAAAGAAAAAGCTATTGCTGATCTTTAAGCTTATACCATTATCACTTTGGGTTGGTTCTTGAGGTAAAATTTAGTGGTAGCTCTTATTTTGAATGAAACTAGCTGAGACTCATTGTGCATAAAAAAAAAGAGTTATAACAATCACATTTTTTTCAGAGTTGAACTGGCAGTCATCAAAGAAAAGACGAAGCTTATGAATGTTTAATGAAAATTCATGAGTGAAGACTGACTCAAGGAATGCGTTCTGTTTTACACGTTTGTTTTTCCGCACTATTGTATAGAGAATGAGAACATGAATTTTTACTTCAAATACATTTGTATAGGAGTTTCTTGAAGTTATTTCCTTAATTATTACTTACGAGTGCAAGTTGGGGTAGAAAAATAAACTAAGACTTTTAAAACATCCATTGACGGAAAATTGAATTTCATAGAAATCATTTCTAAATTACGTCGATGACAAACTGAAGATTTCACAAACTGGGTTAATAAGGTTTAGTGTACTCTATTTTATATACTATGGAAATCTAAAAAAGGAAAGAATAAAACCAGGCGATAAGCAAGTTATTCCTTAACGACCTCGACAGTGCTTTGTCTCACTATAATACAAAGTAACTTTTTCACTGACTTTTCACGCCCTTATCAAGAAAATTTAGCTTGTTTATCAAAGATAATCTTGGTTTGATGCTACTCTGGTTTAAAGATTTAATTAATGTAACCGAGAAGTTACAATTCATAGACCCAACGTTTCGACAATCCTGTCTAGTGCCTTCATCAGGGGTGATCGCTGTAACAAGAGGTCCTTTTATACGCTCACGCTGTTTTTCTGACGAGGCGTAAATAGGCGTCAGGAAGTAAGCCGCCATCATCACGATTTGAAGGAGCGTGGGCAGAGTTAATATGCCAAGCTTCCAAACAAAGACACTGGTGGTAAACGCCTATTAGTGGTGATAATCTTGGACTCATCCCACCCAATTTTATGGTTGGTTAGGCATGTGTGCTCCGATAAAGCTGAATTTTCTTTTTTGCAAAAAAAACGCTTTTTGATGCTCTTTCAAACGTGTACCAAACTGGTTTGTCCGATATACCGGTTATCACAGTCATTGCAAGGAATAGAATAAATAGCGTCGGTTCGTTGTTCTTTCGTAACAAGATCCTTGGGTTCGGCAAAAAATATGCTCCAAAGTTTGAAAAGGTTTTTGAGCAACTTTAAAGTTGTGGCTACATGCTAAACAAAATAAATTTGTTTTCCCTCTCACCGATCCCAGTTGAGAGGGAACATTTTTCAAGGCTTAATTCAGATTGAAACTTAATCTTTAAAATGTTTACGTAGGTTTCCTAGAAGTCTATCTAGTGCGTTTATGGGCTAAATTTTTTCATCGATGACATTAAACAGTTATATTCTGCTTTTGAGTTGCAAAATACGTGCTTGAAACTTCAGCCCGTACCATATAGCATCAAAGACAACATTGAACAGAATGGGCGGCAATATAGCTGAAAAGGCCGTATATAAAGGTTGAGGAATCGTACCTTGATTACAATAAGAAAATTTTAGCCAAGAAAATTCAGTTCGTAAACATGTCTTAGTAGAATAGCAGGAAGAGCAGTCCAACCTTTTTATGCACAAATTAATAAAGGGGGTAAGTTTCTTAAGAAACTATGGTGCTGCGTCGGTGGGAGAGTATAACAAGGTAATTTGGTGCTAATAAGAGTTAATAAGTTGGATAAGTATTGGATAAGTAATAATTTGGAGTTAATAACGCAAATTGGCCACCGTAAAGAGTTTCAAAGCTGACGTTTCGAGCGTTAGCCCTTCGTCAGAGCGTAAGCCCTTCGCTCTGACGAAGGGCTCACGCTCGAAAAGTCAGCTTTGAAATTCTTTACTGTGGCCGATTTACGTTATCAACTCAGTTAATGATACCAAATAAACTTTCCACGCACAGTCCAGCTATGCATTTCACGCTCCTTCCCTCAGGGCTACATGCAACTTAGATTCAAAAGTGATTTCCCATTAAGAGCTCAGTCGTTTGAATAGTATAACTTTTTGGCAGGTGAAAAAGACCTGTGCAGGTGTTGGGAAATTGGACACTTTACAGTTTGTGACGACGAGGAACTTTGATACCTGGTAAACTTAACGACTAACACATCTCAAGGGGTAACCTGTTGTTGTGGAATGTAAATACAACATTTCATTCCAGCTCTGATCTGTAGTCTACTTGGAGCTTAATAAGGCTGGTCTTATTATATTCGCCTTTTTTGGAGTGATCGTGAACGAAACGTGCAAAGGGGTGAGGAAAAACACAATGCTATTGTCGTTAAGTTTTGCGTTAAGTCTTAAAAGTTTTGAAAAGTGTGCTTTTACTTTTGCAATGTTAACTGAAGTTATGGCTAATTATAATTAGGTTCCACTCGTCAATACAATGTCACTTCTTCGCTTCTTACTTTCTTTTCGGAAGATCATGTAACGCTTCAATAGTTTAAAATTGACTGAAGATACAATTACAGACAATAACTATTTACTTACTTGGCGACGGAAAGGAATTGGAACACCTTACGGCGATGAATTGTATTTCAACAATCAAAGCCAACGCTAAAATAATTTTAACGATAGCCATCTCTTTCTTGACTTTGACGGTAGTAGCTACAAAGAGGTTTTTGCCCGAAGCAGTCTAAGTTGTCTACGTTTGACATGTTTGTGCGAGGATGACTCAAATCTTCGAGCTCGTCATCAATGGGGTTGGTTCTATTTCAGACATAAAGGGTGTCTAAGCTGTCTAATATTACACTGAGGTATTGACGCGCTTTTAGCAAACAGTTTTACCATTGCAATGGCGTGGTAATTTGCACTTTGTTTCAAGACTACCTAGAAATTTCCAAGTTCATGCATTTGGTAAGTACTTTTAATCGCGACACACATGTGTCCTGTACACTCTCCTTTACTTTATACAAACATGTGATTTTTCAATTCGTATTCCCAAGGATGTCGTTATAATCTTTTTTCCGCCACTATTGTTTAACGTACCGACTCATTTTTTAGCCACGCTCTATTAGGTGTTTCTTTGTTTGATTCATCGCCTAAGACGCAATACAAAAGGCCAACTTGTCTCATGATGCAACTTCTCATTTGTCTCGAAATTTCTTCCGGTATAGAAGGGTTGGCTGCATTTATCAACTTCAGCTTAAGCTAAAAATGAACAAGATCTATACATATATATGTCATCTTGGAAAAAAGACTCACATTTTTTAATTTTTCTCTTGGGATCAACACAGATTTTTGGTGCGTTGAGTAAAGTAATCAATTTTGGGCAATTTTGGGTGTGCCTCGTTGCCGCACCATTTAAATAAAGATCAGTTAAAATATTTTTCAGCCAGAAAGAAATAATCTTTCAGCAACCTTACTTTATAATTTATATAGTGCTATGAATTAAAATATGCAACCCCCCAATAAATAAAAACACAAAGTTCTTGAACAGAAATGTTTCTTTGATGAGCGTTACATTAAAACTTTCATAGGGTGGTCACTTACAGTCACAACTAACAGACCAGACTCAGAAACTCTCTCCAGGTTAAACGTAATTGTCCTTACTAGTGGGAAAGTTTAGTCGATAAGTAGATTTTGAGAAGGCTACCAATCTACGCAAGGATCATGGAGTAGAATTTCTGGTTGATCTTATGCGAAAAAAATGAATATTCTGGGATGAATTCCACTCCATGACCCTGTGGATTAATTCCTGCCATGACCTAGAGCTAACATTCCTCAGTAAGGTCTTAGTCCTTAGTTTAGGGAAGTTAGTCTTTGACTTCTTGCACTAAGTTAAACATAAAAGATTACCGTACGTTGTTTGAACAACTTCAATACCAAAACCTTTTCGATTGAATGTTCTAAGAACACACAACTGCCTCATATACTGTTTTCACAACTGTGCTTCGGGCATAAAATTGGACATAGGCCACTTTTAAGTTCTCGCGGCTCAGTGAACTGGTACCGAAATTACGGCGTGAGGACGAGGCTAGGTGCGAAGTCGCCCTAATCGGAAGTGGCCTGTTAAGCACGCTTTTTCAGTGTTTTTAACCCCGATGCGCAAATTACTCTGAGGAGCCTGGTACTCAAGTCGGTGACGTTATAGGGGACGTCAAAAAATTCCAGACAATTGTTGATGACTTCCGGTCAGGTTGTCGAAATATGAGGCAATGTCGCTGACGTTTGTTACTATCCTTAACAGGACTACCTCCGATCTCACTGTGCCATTTATTATGCGTTAAGGAGGCCCAAAGTACAGCTTCGAACGGGTTTGCTCCATCTGACACCACCAAGACGGAATTTTTATCCTCCCTTTTGGCTTATGAGCATTCCCTCATAAATAATAGGAGAGAATATGGTGTTGCATCTTTACTGTACCTAATAATTGTCTTTGTGTTTATCTATTCTAGTCATGTGTTTGCCAGATAATGTAGTCTAGGGGTGGATAGCACGTAAGCCACATCTGATAGTGGGATGGG